AGTTACCAGGGAAGTTACATTGTCTATCAGCCTAGTTTGAGCTTTCAATCTGTCTTGTTTGTGATGCCTAGAGTTGTGCTTTAGTGGGCTTGTTAATCTTGAGCATAGTGTAAGTTTTCTCTCATCAAGCCAAGTCCAGCAGCTCTGTTGAGCTCTTCCAGCCAAGTTTCCAGCCTTCCAGTCATCAGAGCTACTCTGTTTTACAAGTTAACCAACTCTTCCTGCCGCTGACCTGAAAGGAGTAAATCAAATCAAACAACCAACTCTTCCTGCTGCCGCTGCTGCTGCTGCTCCTTCTCCGCAAGGGAGCTCTGCAGAAAATTGCCTAGCCACAAGCCACTGGCGGCCTTTTCGATGGATCATGCGTGATTGCAATGCAATGCAAGTATCCATCAACCCTGCAAATTTGCTTCAGCTACCTTGTGCGAGCAGCCTTATACTAGGGCCGACCATAGGCTTCAAATCGCAGCACCCTAGAGAGTAGAGAATTGATCGAGAGCCGAAATGGATTATAATATAGGACCGTACGATTTCAAATATGATATCGTGAGGTTTATATCGACTCTCACGAGATGATTGATCTCAAGTTGGCTGCTATTTCGTCGGACGAAGCCCCCCCATGGCAGCTTTCTCAGCTCATGACTCGAAACAGTCTTGGCTACTACCATGTGTGGTGTTTCTAGCGCTATTCGCGATAGCGGTAGTTCCGTTACTATTCTACAGCATCTTCATAGACCCGTATACGCTGTACACTGACCCACCAAGCCTCCACCTTTGGCACGGCGCGCTTTCCACGGCGAATCAATCCGGCGAACCGTCATTGAAAGCGAAAGAACAGGGTAACTCAAGCGCTGACGTGGCCACGAACCAGGAGAAATGCCAAGTTCCGGAAAATTCGGTAGGATACGATTCGATTTGCTGGTGGTCCGGGGACCATGGCGGATACAGTGGAGGCGACTCGTCGGGAGCCAACGGCGTGAAAGACTCGAATCATGGCGACACGCTGCAGAATGGTTCAACGCAGCAGAATGGTAGCACGCAGGCAGGGAACGCGGAGGATAGTTTTCAAGAGCGACGAAGAGGAGGAGTTTTGATTTTCGGCGGGGGTTGTTCCCGTTGCACGGTGGGCGAGCTTTGCGCTTTCGAGATCGCCGTCAGACCTCCCGCCAGATGGGTCCCTCCTCCTAACGGCCGGCTGACCCCAATAGCACAAGACAAAATTGCGTGGTCGAAGAGATATAGAGGCGGCGGCGGCGGCAGCAGCAGCAGCAACAGCGCGCGGATAGGTATGGGTGGGTTGCGCGAGTCGCTGGTGGTGAGGCTGATGGGCCCCTCCTTGGCTATAGCGGATGTGACTACAGAGGACGGTGACGTCACGCGCTGGCGAGTCACGTACCGCGTGTGGGACGCTGGTGACTACAGGTGAGGCTTGGGGGGAGGGGGAGGGGGAAGGGGAGGGGGAAGGGGAGGGGGAAGGGGAGGGGGAAGGGGAGGGGGAAGGGGAGGGGGAGGGGGAGGGGGGGGGAAAGAAGGGTGGGGGGAGGAGAAGGAATGAGCGAGGGAGAAAATGAGAAGGTGGTTGGGGGGGTGTTGGGGAGGGGGTGAGGAGGGGGGAAAAAGGGGGTGGGGGTGGAGAGGAGGGGAATAAAAGGGAAAGAACGAGGGGGGAGGGAACGTGGATGGAGGTGAGTGGGGGTAAATGTTACTAGGAGAAGGGGGATAGGGGGAGGGAGGGAAAAGGGGATGGAGGTGATGGGAGAAATGGGGAGGGCGGATTGGGAAGTCGTTGCTTCCTATTCCGTACTCTCGCCAACCCTCTCAGTCCAACACTTGATATGCTCACCTCATTACCGATAATCCCATGTGCCCTTACTTCTTCCCGCTCTCCCTCCTCCTCTCCTCCCCCTCCTCCTCTCCTCCTCCCCTCCTCCTCTCCTCCTCCCCCTCCCCCTCGCCATCCCCCAACCAACCAGTGTCCTGGTCCAATCAGAGTGCGACACACTGGACTTTGCTTCTGACTACTTGCGTCGGGTCCGAAAGACAAAATCGCATGTCATGGCCGAATGGGTTCTCACTGTCCTCCCACCCGCCAAACCATCCACCGAACCAGTTCTCAAACCATCTACCGAGCCTGCTACCGAACCATCCACCAAATCTGTTACCAATCAAGCCACCGAACCAGCTACCGAACTAGAACCAGCTTCTACCACAGAGTCCCAACCCAGCAACAGATCCTCTCTCGATGCAACGTACGGTCCAGATTCGCCGTGCGACCATGCCATCCACGGCCGGTGGCTGATCAACGCACAGAAGCGGGCCTACGAGTGGCAACTCTACCCGTGCGCGCACCCCCTCCCCCCCGTCTCTCAGTGGCTCTCCGCCCTCCAATCCCGGGGTATTTCCGAGATCAACTTTGTCGGGGATTCTCACGTGCGATTTCTCTGCCACCACCTCTTCTTCCTCCTCACCGGCAAGGCCAATGCGTCGGCTGTCAAGCTCCATGAATATCATCAGTTGGTCGTGCCGCCCCCTAGCCCAAAGCTGCAGCCTCTGACGCTCAATTTCTACTGGATCGGTGGGATTTACATCGACGGGCCTTTTGGTTGCAGGTGCAGTGTGGGAGCACAGCTTGTCTTCTGTCTTATTTCCTTCTCTTTTTTGTTTCTTTAAACTATTCTAGTCCATGCTTTTCATCCCTTCGTTTCGTGGCGTTCAGCTCTCGGTTGCGTAGAAGTGCATTTGCTGCCGTTGCACCTTCATCCCCCGTGTGGATCAGTCTCAGAGAGTTCAAGGTCCATTCTCAGTGGAGTAAACACACTCCAGTTTCCATCCTCCGGGAGGTTGGGGAAGTAAACACACTCCACGTTCCTTCCCATCTTTCCTGCCACTCTTCCCTTCACTGTAATCACCGTGCAGCTATAAGAACGTCACGTCATTTGAGCTGCTCACGTTTCCAAAAATTTCCACGACAGCCAGTGTGACGCTTGTAGACGGTGGCTTCTGGATGACGGTTTTCTGCGCCGAGCCGGAGAACGCGTTGGGGTATTACCTTCCCAACTACCTGCAGTGGGTTTACTCTCAGAGGGAACTGGCAATGCAGGTGCAGCGGCAGCCACAGCAGCAGCAGCAGCAGCAGCAGCAGAAGAAGCAGCAGGAAAATCTAACCTTGGCGCTGCCCGTCAGAGCGGGCCCATGGTTTCTGTTCCGAAGCATCCCTCCAAAACGGCTCAATGACTTTTGTTACGACGGAACAAACACGCTCATTTCACACATGAACAGAGTTGTTGCCAGGCACTTGGGACGGTACGGGCTGCAGCTTCTCAATGATTGGCTCATCGCAGCCCCTCGCCCCGACGATACGTGCGGGCCAAAGGATCCGCACCACACCTGCTTTGCCGAAGCTGCCTTAGGCAAGAATAATACAGAAATGGATGGGAGGTATCTGGGGGCTGTGGGAGAAGCCATGGTGTGGAATTTGATTTACCATCTCTTGTATAATTTGACATGAAAATGCTCTGAGTGCAATTTTTCTTTAACTCAAGCCCAGTTTGAAAATTTGAGGCCTTGGGCTTTTGGTTGATAAAATGTTGTACAAATCTCCAATTGCACACCTGCACGATGGAGTTAGTGACGAGCAATCCAAGTGGTTCAGGTGAACATAACGAATGTACTGTGGGTGTTGGATGTAACAAATTCGAGAAACACTTGCCACAGACGATGTTGATGCCAGGTTCACCATCTTGGCGAACCTAGGCGAAGTCTTGAATCCACATCTGAACCGCGTAACAGTTCTATCGTCGCACGGCTACTGCCGCTCACATTGTCAGCGGTGCCAGTTATTTGCACGCTTCGCACACGAGCCGTGGTTGTAATAACCGTTTTCGCGAAACCCGCGATGAACACCAACAGTCGAGAAATCAAGGATCCAGGTGAGACAAGAGTCTGCTGCTGCTATGTTCTGTTCATCAGTTCTCTGTTCTTCGTCCTTGCATTCTGTGCACGGCGGCAAACACCTTGGAAAATTCCGACGGGCTCCTGTCTGTTGCGATTCGTTGTTCCAGACTGTAGGGTAGACAAGGTGATCTGGTTGCAAACGCTAATGTTGGACGCGACCTGGCTGCTGCGTGTCGTTAGACGCGGGGAGTGTTTTTTAACTGTCTATGCAGCTCCGCTTCTCCGGGATTTGGGCTCACAAGTATCGAGCCGAGCGGAGATGTGAGGTCGAGACGCGGGACACCAGGACGCGAGAGTTCGAGCCTGATATGGAAACCAGGGAGGTCGAAAGAAGGGACGCTGGTCTGGGTGGTGGTTAACGCCGTCGTTTCACTTAACCACCGGCAGACGGGATTGCATCATGTCTGGAGATCGAGTCGCCCTGTTTTCAGAAATCGAATCGGTCGAAAAACATCGCATTTTCTCAGTGTTGCCCTTCGACCCTGTGTTCATACAGCGACGATAGGCGTGCCCTCTTAGCTGCGTGATCCGTGCGCCGTACGACACCGCGTCTGGTTACAACATCACGCCAGCAGTGAGAGGAGCGATTCCTGTAGGCAGCATGGCAATCGACAGTGACCTTTGCCGTGCCGTCCTGACCGCTCACCTCCTCCATTGCCGTAGCAGCGGTGATTCCTCAGCAGCAATTGCAACAACTGCAGCAGCTGCAGCAGCAGGAAGGGCGATTCCTCAGGAGGCTCCTCCATGCCAGAGGAGAGGAACCCTCCCTTAGCATCATCCACGCACCGCATCTCGCGGTCTAGCGCGTCCTATAAAGCGGCCATAATGGCTACCATGAAGTCATCAGCTCGCCCACTGCTCCCCTCAGCAGCAATTGCAGCAACTTCTAAGCCAGTCGTTCGCCTCTCCAAACCCCTCGCGCTTCTCGCTTCTCTCCTGTTATCTCCGCGCCTCTCCTCATGGCGGCGGCTGGGATGCGCGTGCTGGTGCTGGCAGCGTTGGCGGTGGGGCTGCTGGCGGCGGCGGTGAGTGGAGCGCGGGACGCCATGAAGGTAGCCAGGGGCCTCGTCCCATCAGAGGGTGGCGCGACTGGCCGGGCGGGGGTGGCGGGGCAGCAGAGGAAGGGCGCTCGCATTCTGGCGGCTGAGACCTTCGCTCACCACGCCCCTCTGCCCGGCTACCTCGACCACATCCCCCGCCGCCAGGCCCTCGCCACCTGTACGCACTGCTGCTCCCTCCTCTCCCTCTCTTCCCTGCCGTGGTCCTCTCCCTCTCTTGCCTCTCATCTCGCCGCCAGGCCCTCGCCACCAGTACGTTGCTGCTGCTCCCTCCTCTCCCTCTCTTCCCTGCCTTGGTTCCTTAGCTCTGCTGTTCCCTTCTTCTCACTGCCTGTCCCTGCTTCGCTTGCCGCTCATTTCTATGCTCCCTTTGGCTCTCATTCCTCTGCTCCCTTTGTCTCTCATTCCTCTGCTCCCTTTGTCTCTCATTCCTCTGCTCCCTTTGTCTCTCATTCCTCTGCTCCCTTTGTCTCTCATTCCTCTGCTCCCTTTGCATCTCATTCCTCTGCTCCCTTTGCCTCTCATTCCTCTGCTCCCTTTGTCTCTCATTCCTCTGCTCCCTTTGTCTCTCATTCCTCTGCTCCCTTTGTCTCTCATTCCTCTGCTCCCTTTGTCTCTCATTCCTCTGCTCCCTTTGTCTCTCATTCCTCTGCTCCCTTTGTCTCTCATTCCTCTGCTCCCTTTGTCTCTCATTCCTCTGCTCCCTTTGTCTCTCATTCCTCTGCTTCCTTTGCCTCTCATTCCTCTGCTCCCTTTGTCTCTCATTCCTCTGCTCCCTTTGCCTCTCATTCCTCTGCTCCCTTTGTCTCTCATTCTTCTGCTCCCTTTGTCTCTCATTCCTCTGCTCCCTTTGTCTCTCATTCCTCTGCTCCCTTTGTCTCTCATTCCTCTGCTCCCTTTGCCTCTCATTCCTCTGCTCCCTTTGCCTCTCATTCCTCTGCTCCCTTTGTCTCTCATTCCTCTGCTCCCGTTGCCACCTCCACTGTCGTGTGCTGAAGTGTATTCGTGCATGGCGGTGACAATCTGGATTCTTATTCTATCTTTCCCTTCCTCCACGCCCGTCCCCCCCTCCCCCAATATCTCCTCCCCCTTCCCAGCGTGTGGGCGCACGACGGTGACGATCTGCTCGCAGTACCTGGGGCCGTACGACCTGAACTCACTCCTTCCCCATCCCTCCCCTTTTTCTCCCTCTCCCCCTTCCCCCCACTCTCCAGCCTGTGGGCGCACGACGGTGACGATCCGCTCGCAGTACCGGGGCCGTACGACCTGCACAACGACATCTACAACATGACCTTCTATAACGGCTGCGCCTACAACGTCACCAGCCCGCTGCGCGTGTTTCAGTGCTTCAACTTCGGCAACGTGTGGGAGGGCATCCTCGACAACCCCGATCCCAACCCCTCGCAGTACCAGCAAGGCGAAATCTTCGTGCAGACGACGCCGGGGTACTGTGAGATGCGCATGAACCGCGGTGCTAGCGGCACTCTGCAGATGCTCCCTGGGGAGACCGTCAACATTGTGTATGCGTACTTGTGGGACTTCCGGCCCTGCGTGCAGGAGCTGCGCTTCGGCAATGGCAACAGCTACTCCATGACCAACACCACCGAGTGCCAGCTCGCCCAGGTCATCTAGACAGCGCCCTTCGTACTGTATCGTGGATAATGTTCGTGATAAGTGTTCCATGTGGTGTAGCAGAATGAGATGAGGTGTAATGGGTGGAGGGAGGCTGTGGGGGTGGGAAAGGCAATAATGATGCATGTGATGTTCATACTTCGTGTATCAGCAAGATATTCTGCAACTCTCATCCTCATCTGTTCGCCTTTTGAATTACCGCAAGAGTTTAGTTTATCAGGACATTTTTCTGAGATAGTCTGGTATATTTTCCACTACCATCCCAGTAGTGTCACGCATTTACCAGACCTCTCTAGCGAAGACATTCGCCACGCAAGCAGTGACATGATGTGACATCTCACAAATCAAAAGGGGTCCAGTCCGGGAAAAAAGGGGTGACTACAGAACTAGGTCCCCGCACCGAAAGTTTGGCCATTTTCGGGTCGCGCACTGTTTGTCTATGTGAATTGATAGGCCCATCCGCTTGCTAGCGAAGGGAGGCACGAAAGCCAAGGGCTGGGAAAATTCCTCGAGCCGCGAGTCATTTCTTGGCGCAAGCGTGGGGCTGAAGGTCCAATCATGCATCACAATTCCCCAGTCTGTCAAGGGTCTTTGCCGTCGTGCTGCTTGGTGGCGGAGTCTTTCGCAATCGACATTAACGAAGTTGGTAACTCGGTTCCTTTGCTGAGACAGCAGGGTTCGCCCATTCAAGCGTCCTTTCGTTTGGGCTTTCCTGATTATGCTCTGCTTTCTCTCGTCATTTTCGTGCCACGGGAGACTACAGAATGGCTGCTCCCGTCAAACTTTCGAAGTGGCGCAAAGCATCTCAGTGACTGCGTACCTCTCAGCTGTGACTTGACGCTTTCGGACAATACTCTACCCGTTCGGGAACGTGCACACAGCAACGCTGATTGCAAGCAAAACGTGCCACGCAAGTATCGTGAGAATCAATGTTTCGGGTGTTTCTACGCGTAACATCCCAGGCGCTGTCGGCCGACTTGAAGTCACACATGGAGCGACGGAATGTAGGTAGCCGACAATGTTGTCAGACTCGAAACGTCAGGACGTAGGATTGGACTAGGAAACGTCAGGAAGCAGAAATTAACAAGTCTCCTGACCTCGCGCGAAACAGCCAATTCTGGCTCCTGACTGTTATAGCAGACTGCAATCTACTTCGATTGGTTTTTGAAACGTGCCATTTGTGTCAGATTATCCCCTGTTACGTAGTAGCTTGCCGAGTCGCGATCGTACTAAGCTAACTTGCCTGTCAGTAGTAGTAGTAGGCCCGAATATAGGAACCAACCGCATGTAGTGAGGTAGCGTTGTCTCTCCGTTTGCGAATGGATGGTTTCGAGGTAGCGAAACACCAGGACCACGAACCTGCTTCGATTTTTGACACGAACCGGAACTCGAAACACGTGTACAGTGGGCTTAAAACGGTATCCGAAGCGACATCTGATACGCTATCGGAGCGCCTAGGCTTGGGCCCTGGGTTTGGGGCAGTGGCGGTTAGAGTAGTCAACCGTCGAATCGCTCGCGATGACGAGGATGACGCGGAAGAGCAGAGCCATCATGATGGGGCGGATGCGGATGGGAGACGTTTGAGTCGAAGCGCAAGTCGCGTCGGGTTAGAAGCGGCGGCGGCGGGTCCACACATGTGCCACCCGATTATGTACGGCTATGAGGTCGCGGCAGAGCTGAGCCGTGGCGCGCATGGGAGGTTTTACCTAGTCCGCGAAAAGGGCGCTTCGCGTATTAACGGCTTAATTTGTAGCGATAGAGGGCTTGGAGCAAGTGGAGCTGCGAGCTTCGCCAGCCATGGCGCAGCGCTAGTTGCGGGAGGACCATGCGAGTCTGGCAGCGGAGTAGCTCCGGGTGACGCGTGGGTGTTGCGGGTGGTTCCGCTGCCGGAAGACGCGGCGCAGCGTGCGGCGTGTGTGAGGCAGGCGGAGAGGATGATGCAGCTGCGCCATCCGTGCCTGGCTGAATGCAAGGTGAGGCGGCGCAGGTGAGACAGTGCGGGTGAGAGGGCGCGGGCGAGAGGGTGCGGGCGAGAGGGCGCGAGTGAGACGGTGCGGGTGAGGTGGCTCAATTAGTCTCTATAGGCTCCTTATGACATGTGCGGTGTGTGTGAGGGGGCTTGTGAGGGAGGATGTGGGGGAGGGGGGGACGATATCACCCATGCGTGATGAGCTGCAGGATGAGACAAGTGGCATTCGTGGGCACATCTGGGGGCTGGGTTGAATAAAACGGGAAAGCGGGGATGGGGCGCGTGACATGGCATTTGAGGCGCCTCAGAAGACGACTTTTGAGGCGCCTCAAAAATGGCTTTTGAGGCGGCTCAGAAGGCGGGGATGGGACATGATTGCCATTCCTGGTTTACACTTACGTGATGACATGCCTCGATGATTTCACGAATTATTTCCCGCACAGGGAATGAAAGCAGGAGTGCACTTGAAGCTTCATACACCCTCGTTCTCTTTTCTTGTTCGTCGTCGTCATCTCGAAACACTGCTATCCAGCGACGCGTTTCTAAAAGTATCTAATGCTGTCTTTCCCGTGTCGAGTGGATGCACTGTGCAGGCGGTATTCGTCCACGAGGCATCGCGCAGCCTCTGTACTGGTGAGTTACAGGATGTGTGTGCATGGTGCGTGACGGGTGTGTTTGGACCAGCCCTGTCGCACATCCCTCGCGTTCTGAGCATTTCCTGCCAGAAAGATGCGTATTATGGGGAAGAGTGTCAGATACTGGGATGGAGTGAGGAATTAAGCTGAGCCCATCTTTTCGTGCTTCGCTTCGTTTGATACAGTGACGGAGCACTGTGGAGGAGACACGCTGTCGGAGCTGATAAGAAGCCATGAAGGCAACAAGTCTTTGTGAGTGAAAGGGGTTTGTGCTGCCCTCACAACAATGCTGCTGCCGTCATCCTCTCTCCCCTTCTCATTACTCCCTCACCGCCCAAGCACCATCACCAAAACAGTGTGAACATTTGAAATCCAACGGCATTCCTGCTTCTTCTCCTTACTCATGCCAATCCCAGCATGCCCGAGCAGACAATTGTTGACTGGCTGCTGCAAGTGACCCTGGCGCTTGAGCACATGCACCACCACAACATGCTACACCGAGGTGTCACGGTGCGTATACCGCAGAGTGCTAAAACGCGTACAACAAGCACTCCACTGCTCCTAATCAAGGCGTTGAAAGAACATGCACCATTGCATATGAGAGCACATGAGAACATATGAGAGCACATGGGAGCATATGCGAGTGCATGGGAGCATATGCGAGTGCATGGGAGCACATGAGAGCAGATGAGAGCACATAAATCTCGTTTCCAATCAACGTAACCTCCTGTTCCTTCCCCACCCCGCCACAACCCCCTCCATGCTTACACCTTTCCCCATCCCCCCCTGGTGGCTGCAGGTAGAGTTCGTTCGTCATTGCAGCCATACGAGCAGCTGAGATTTGTCCTTAACAACTAACATCACCTCCTCTCCCTCCCCGCCCTGCCACACCCCCCTCTGCTGGCAGCAGGCGGAGAACGTTCTTCTTTGCAGCCCAAGCGACAGCAACCCCGCGCGTGTGCGGCTGGGGATGTGCATGACCGCTGAGATGACAAGCCAGGAACTGTACGACTGCAAGTCGGGTGAGTTGACACGCTGGAACCTTATGATTGCAAGTCAGTCGAGATGACACGTAAGATGGTTGACACGGCATGGGATGACAGGCACGTGAATGGTACATGGCATGGGGTGTACGCTGCTATTGACCCATGACGGTACACAGATGTGCTTAGATTCTCTGATTGCTAGAGCACCAAACCCAGTGGCCCGCTGTAGCGAGGTTGTTTTTGAGACGTCTCAAATCCAACCCTTCCCAGGGGCCCGCTGTAGCGAGGTTGTTTTTGAGACGTCTCAAATCCAACCCTTCCCAGGGGCCCGCTGTAGCGAGGTTGTTTTTGAGACGTCTCAAATCCAACCCTTCCCAGGGGCCCGCTGTAGCGAGGTTGTTTTTGAGACGTCTCAAATCCAACCCTTCCCAGGGGCCCGCTCCCTCTATCCATCCCACTCTGTCTCCACCAACCCCCCACCTTCCCCCTCCTCCTCCACTTTGCCACTTCCTCTAGCGCTGCCCGCTCTTCTCCCTATCGCTTGCCTATCCCACTCTACTACCACTCCCCTGCTCGCTTGCCTATTCCACTTCCCCACTCTCCCCCACTCCCCCAATCTCCCCCACTCTACCACTCTCCCCCACTCCCCCACTCTTCTCCCCCCTCCCACTCCCGCCCACTTCCCCTCTTCCCCTTGGCCCTCTTTCACCATCTGGCAGTTACTCGCCTGACCTCTCTGCGCTTGTCAGACGTATGCTCTCTCAGGTGAATTCAACATTCTCAGGTGAATTCAACATTCTCAGGTGAATTCAACACTCTCGGGTGAGTTCAACACTCTCAGGTGAATTCAACATTCTCAGGTCAATCCAACAGTTTCAGGTAGGTATGTCCAACTGTGTCGGATGCCACTATTGAATTAACTGCCTGAATGTGCTGGGTGCAGGTTCATGTGAATGTGAATGTGAATGGGGAGCACCCCCATTCCTTTCCACGCCTCATTCTCTCTGCGTGCCCTGTTTCCTCTCATCCCATCTCTTCTCCCCTACACTCTCTCTCAAGAACCCCTCTGAGCGACGCACACATCTTCCACTCCCTCTCCTTCATCATCAGGCCTCTGCTTTGTCACATTCCTTCCCCCATTCTCCTCCCTCCCCCGCACTTACTGTGCCCCATGCAGACCCCCTCTGAGCGACCCACAGCAGCCGACATCCTAGCCTCGCCTCTCCTCCACCAACGGGCTTCTGCCTTCCTGCACGCCTGCCTGCATGCCGTTGAACATACACTCGAGAGTGCCACTGTGAACGATCTTGGGAATGCCGCCCTTGGGAATTCCGCCCTTGGGAATGCCGCCCTTGGGAATGCTCCCCTTGGGAATGCTGCTCTTGGGAATGCCGCCCTTGGGAACGCCGCCAGTGTTGGTGCTGATGTGGCAAGCGCAGTGGCAATGCGGCGGGCAGTAAGGGAGCAGATGGGGCGACTGGAGATCGTGATAGCCCCATGCGGGAGCATCAATGCGCGTGTGGCCTGCAGCAGCAGCAGCAGCAGCGCCACCACCACCACCACCACCACCACCACCACCACCACCACCACCACCACCACCACCACCACCACCACCACCACCACCACCACCACCACCACCACCACCACCACCACCACCACCAGCAGCACCAGCAGCACCAGCAGTGGCGATAGCAGTGGCGATGCTGCTGCTACTGCCGATTTGCAAGCAGGTGAGCGGACAGGCGGGCTTGCTGCTACAGGAGATGCTGGTTCTGAGGAAGTCGCATCCCGTGCAGGTATATCTGGGTCAGGGGGATCCGCCACACGAGCATGTAGAGCATGTGACGTGCCTTCGTTGGGTATGGCTGGTGGGGAGGAGGAGGAGGAAGGGGGTCGGGTGGAGGAGGGAGAATGGGGTGGGGAGGAGTGTGTGAAGGTCGAGGAGGAAGGGGCAGGGACTGCGGAGGAAGAAGAGGAGGTATTTCAGGAGGCTCAAGGGATGGGCCATGTGGATGGGGAGGAGGAGGAACAACGGGAGTGGGAGGATCAGGACGAGTGGGGGTGGTGTTGGTTGGGAAAAGAGGACGAAGAAGGAGAGGAGAAGGACGAGGCGGAGTGTAAGCGAATGGAGGAGGAAGATGAGGCACGGAGAGAATGGGAGCGAGAGCAGGAGTTGAGGGAAGAGTTTGTGCTTGAGAAGGAGGCGGAGGAAAATGGATGGGGGGAGGAGAGACAAATAGGGAAGCGTGAGAACGATGGTGAGTGGGAAGAGCGAGTGAATGGGTGGGACGAGGGAGGCGATGGGGCGGAAAGGGAAGAAGAGCGAGAAGAGCATGGGATAGGTCGTGGGTGGGAGGATGGAGCGGATGGGTGGAGAGAAGGAGAGAATAAGAATCTGAAACGAGATGATGAATGGGAAGAGGGAGAGGTTAGCTGGGGAGAGGGAGAGGATGGGCGGGAAGGGGAGGAAAGGCGAGAAGAGCACGAGACAGGTGGTGGATGGGAGGAGAATGGGTGGGAAGAAGGAGAGGACGGGGAGGAGGAACGAGATGATGGATGGGAGGAAGGAGAGGTTAGGTGGAGAGAGGGAGTGGATGGCTGGGAAGGGGAAGAAGAGCGGGAAGAGCATGGGACAGATGGTGCGTGGGAGGAGGGAAAGGATAGGTGGAGAGGAGGAGTCAACGAGGATGTGGAACGAGGTGATGAAAGGGAGGAAGGAGAGGTTAGATGGATAGAGGGAGCCGATGGGTGGGAAGCGGGAGGAGAGCGGGAGGAGTGCGAGATACGTGATGGATGGGATGAGGGAAGGGCTGGGTGGGAAGAGGAGGGATATCAGCCGCAGCAAAATCAGCAGTGGCAGCAGCAGCATCGGCGGCGGGAAGAGAGAGAGCAGACGGAGCAGCACGAAGCAGCCAGAGAGTTGCTGACAAAGAAGCAGCAGGAGCAGCAGACGGAGCAAAAGAAGAAGCAGCAGCAGCAGCAGCAGCAGCAGCAGCAGGAGCAGGGACAGCAGAAGCGTGATTCAGAATGGCGGAAGCGGTTCAGGAGCCGCACCAGGGATAGTCACAGCACAGGGGGGCGCAGCAGGGGCAGGCGCAACAATAGCAAGGAGGTGGTGAGGCATCGGAGGGCGCAGCAAGGTCACGGAAGCGGGCACAACGCAACACGGTGCAGCACTGGCAGCAGTTGCAACAGCAGCTGTAGCACTGACACTTTACGATGCAACACTGTGAGTAGCTGTAGCAGCTGTAGCAGCCGTGGCGGCTGTAGCAGTTGTAGCAGGAGTGACCGCACCTGCCGTGGCTTCAGCAGCAAGCACTCTACCGGCTGTAGCAGCGGCAGCAGCAACAGGTTGCAGTACAGCCTGGACAGTAGCTGCTGTGACACGTCAGAGCATGGCAGTGACACGTCATCGTCGTCAGTGAGCGTGTTGCCCCCCATCCCTTGTCCACTGGACCCTGCATTTATTGAGAGCCATCTGCACAAGGTTAAGGCACTGCTGGAACGGTTTGGCGTCCCTCTCAACAACCAGCCTGTGCCAGCTGGTGCTTGCATGCAGGCGAACCTGTCGAGGATTCAGGAGCTGCTGCAGGTGGGCGGGGTGAAGGCGGGGAAGAGGCCGGAGGGGGTGCAGGTGCAAGGGGGAAAGGAGCTGTCAAAGATAGCGAGGAGGAAGGAGGTGGGGAAGGAGGGTGAGATGCGGGATACGTGCTTCGAGACAGGTCATGCCACACCTGATAAGGCTGTGCCAGGTTATGCTGCAGCTGGTGAGGTGGCAGCAGGTGACGTCATGTCTGAGAGGGTTCGGAAGCTTCTGCGGAAGCTGCGAGAACTGAAGGAGATAGCTGGCGTGCCAAGGAAGCAGGTGGCACACACGATGCAATCAGTGCAGTCAATGCAGTCAACGCAGTCAATGCAGTCAACGCAGTCAACGCAGTCAATGCAGTCAACGCAGTCAATGCAGTCAACGCAGTCAACGCAGTCAATGATGTCAACGCAGTCAATGCAGTCAACGCAGTCAACGCAAGGGGCACCAGAGCTGCAGAAGGTGTGGGCAGTGGGGACACCAGAGGCACTGCGTGCACTGCTCCGGCTGTACAAGCTGAAGGAGGGAGAGGAGGAGCGCAAAAATGCTGGCAAGAGATCTCCGGTGCTCACTGGCTCACACAAGGCTGCTTTCCATGCTGCTTGTTCACCGGGCAAGGGGCCCACGGCTGCTCGTCCTGCGCTTAGACAAAAGCACGGCAGGCATGGTGACGGCTGTGGGGATGGGTGTGGGGATGGGTGTGGGGATGGGTGTGGGGATGGGTGTGGGGATGGGTGTGGGGTAGGTTGTGGGGTAGGGTGTGGGGTAGGGTGTGAGGGTTCCTATGGAGATGCCTCTGAGGCGGGCTGGAGTGATGGCTGCGGAGTGGGGAGTGAAGGTGCTGGTTCGGCCCACACGTGCGGTTGGAGTGATGGCTTGGATGGCATGGGCAGCTGGATAGGAGGGGCGGGGGAAGACGTGGGTCTGACTGAAGGGGAGGACTGTTCAGAAGGGGTGAGGTATGCAGGAGGAGAGGGGTATGGAGAAGGAGAGGGTTATGCAGAAGGAGAGGGGTGTGAAGAAGGAGAGGGGTGTGAAGAAGGAGAGGGGTGTGAAGAAGAAAATGATGAGGAGATTTCAGAAGGAGAGGGATGCTTGGAGGGCGAGGGGTGTTCAGACGGGGAGACGCAGTGGGTGGGAGTTTGGCTCAGGACCGATAGAGGCTGGATCGAAAGGAAAATGTTGTCAGAGGAGGAGGAGGAGGAGGAGGAGGAGGAGGAGGAGGAGGAGGAGGAGGAGGAGGAGGAGGAGGAGGAGGAGGAGGAGGAGGAGGAGGAGGAGGAGTATACAGACGGCGAGGGGCTTAGAGATGGAGATATCTTTAGGAAAGAGGAAGGAGAGGGAAGTGCCGAGGACAAGAGGTATTCAGAAGGAGAGGGGTATTCCGAAGGAGAGGGGTATTCAGAAGGAGAGGGCTATTCAGAAGGAGAGGGGTGGTCGGAAAGAGAGGGGTTTTCGGAAGGAGAATGGCTCGAGGTTGAAGGAGGTTTTGAGGGGCTTACAGAATGCGAAGAAAATGCAGATAAAGAGAGGTACTTGGAAAGTGAGTGTCCTGGGACTGAAGGATGGTGCCCTGAAAACGAAGAGTTGATGGTAGAGGAGTGGAGAGAAGGAGATGGAAGGGCACAAGGGCGCGAAGGAGAGGGGTGGAGCAAAGGGAAGAGTTTGACGGAAGGAGAGAAGTGTGCAGAATCGGAAGCGGGTGCAGAAGCAGAGCGGTTGATTCATGGCGGCGCATTGTGCGAAAGGGGCGAGGTGGGAAGCGGGGTGCATGAGGCAAGTGGAGCGGCGTTGGGAGGCATGTTGGAGCGGGTGGGCGTGCTCCTCAGGAGAGCCTGTGGGAGCGCCTGTGAGGGTGCCTGTGGGGGTGCCTGTGAGGGTGCATGTGAGCCGAGCCATTGCGTGCACTCCCAGGGTGGCTTTAAGGATTCTCAAAAGTGCCGTGCGTGTGATCAGGGCCACTGCGTGGTGGGCACACGGACTCATGGCATGCGCCACTCACACCCCTGCCGCCCTGCAGCTAAAGCAGCCAAAACAAACCTTCCAGCACACTCTTCAGTTCACCTGATCACTCTTCCTCGGGACTGTTTGCTCCACAGGAGAAGCTGCAGGGGCGCTGACGTGGCCTGTTCACGTGGTGTGGAAGCTGTCAGTCCATATGGACACGTGGCACATGCCTTGGCCTCTTGTAGAAGGGACAACTGGCAATGCAGCTGCTATGGAAGCAACACTAGTCATGCCCACAAAAACGGATGCATCACCAGCAGATGCTATGTCAGGAGTGGATGCCATGTCAGCAACGGCTGCCACGTCAGCAGCAGATGCCTGTTTGAAGCAAATGCCAGGGTGCATGGTGGTAGGCCAACCCGTCACTTTAACCGTGACTGTAACAGCTCGTGTGACTGCGGAGGGGGCTGCAGCTGTGGTGCCAGCTACCATCTCCTCAAGTGTGACTGTAAAGAATGCTGCACCTGTGACAATAACGCGTACAAGAGTGGCTGTTGCAGGTCACGCCACCACTGTGTGTGCGGGCGTGGCTGCCACTCGGCATCCAGTGCTGATAGCGCCTGTGGGTCTGGTGGCACTGACGACGGTGACAAGCTGACTTGTGAGTTGACTCAAGAGTCAGCGTGCGGGCGTGGCAGCTACTCTGCATCCAGTGGTGATAAAACCTGTGGGTCTGGTGGCACTGACGACGGTGACAGGGATTCATGGGCCAGCCCTTGGCTGGCTGCCCCTGATGCTTCTGGCTCTGCTGGTGGGGAAGTGGCATGGCAGCAGCAGCAGCATCAGGAGCAGCAGCAGCAGCAGCAGCAGTGGGAATGGCGGCGGGAGCTGCAGCAACAGTGGGGGCAGCAGCACGAGCAGCAGTGGGGGCAGAGACAAGAGCAGAAGCAGCAGCATCAGCAGCAGTGGGGTCAGCAACGACAGAAGCAGCAGCGGTGGGGGCAGCAGCAGGAGCAGGAGCAGGAAAGGAGTTGTCTGTCGCTGGTGCACTCTATGGAGGAGGAGGAGGAGGAGGATGTGGTAGAGGCAGATACTCACACACGCATGCAGGAAGAGGCGGGAGGTGAGCGACTTATGCAAGAATGGGTGGGCGGCGACAGGTGCGGCACAAACCACCAGTTTCCAACACATATGACTGCAGAGCATGCAGAGCATACGGAGTGGGCAGAACAGGCAGAGCGTGCAGAGCATGGCAGGAGGAGGTGGAGTACTGCGGGGCAGAATCGATATGAAGAGATTCACCAACATCCACTGTTGGGTGGGGCAGACTATAGTAGTGAAACTGGGGAGCTCAATAGTGAGGACGAGGAGTCAGACTACGAGGTGGTGCGCCAGGTGGCGATGTACGAGTGGCTGCGTGCGTCTTCACAGCAAGCAGCAGCTCTCGAAGCAGCACGCATCCCCACTCCTCCCAGCAACCCCTTCCCCCGCCAGCAGCACGCCAGCAGCAGCTGCTGCCTGTCTGACAGCCAGGCTGGCACGTGGATGAAACAAGGCAGCAGTCATGCTAGTGTGGGGGCTAGAGGTGGTGAACAATCTGGTGTATGGCTGAGAGGCAGCAGCAGTGCGTTTCCAATGAGCCAGTATGCAGTGAGAGCTGTGCATGGTAGCATGTGCAAGGGTCGTAGACTGAGCTCGGAGCTGGGTCGAAGCAGGGGTTTCAGGGGGCACAAGGCACTGCCTGTTTCCACCAGGTTCATGCGTGAAGCAGAAGCTAATCGGCAGTGCATGGCTGCTGCGGTTGCACTGGCAACACCATTTGTTGCACCAGCAGTACCAGCCGCACCAGTTGTGGCATCAGCAGCCGCACGAACAGGGGTAAGGGCTGTAGCAGAAAGTGTGCTGGAAGGGACAAAGAAGGCAGTGGCAATGGAAGCGACAACAGCCCATTGCGTTAGTCCATTGCAGCAGAGAAATGCGATGACTACAGAGGCTTATTCGTTACAGTGTCCTCCAGTAAGAGGCTGCTTGGTGCATGAGTGGTATGATGCTGTGAAGAGTGGTGATGAGAGCGAGCAGTCATCGGGAATGGATCTGCAGTACTGCCTTGACTCAAAGGGGAGAAGCCTGCTGTCGTCCCCAATAAACTCGCTCTTTGTTAGCCAGCATACACACGCTCGAATGCAACGTCGCTTGCATCGAAAGAGAACACAAGATCACCGTTAGAATGAGTGGTTGATACATGATTTGAAACAAAATGTGAAATTTAGAGTGGGGACAGGTTTTGATTTTAGGTTCCTAGTGATGTAAATTATTTTGGTTCATGTACTTACATGCGCTGTACAAGAGATTCGTTAAATACTTTAAGGAGAGCTCCCTTTCCCTTATCGGGGTTGACTGCTTCGCGTACAACCCCACACTTTCGGTCTTCACACGTTCGGCCCACATCACTAAAACCGAGGCTCCCTCGCGTCGCCTTCGGTTTTCCCTTGCCAAACCTGCACACAACCTCGTGTTCCTGAGGTTCTCGCCTAGCTAGGGTAGTCACTATATTATCACGTGCCTTCACTATATTGTCAGTTCATTCAGCCACAGCTTCGCTATTCGTTTTCTGCGCAACTCTGTTTTACAGCTCATAACACGTACCATAGGATTCATCACATGTCATCAACACACTTTTCATATTCACATGTTATTGAAGTGACAAGTGTATTGAGTTCCAGTTGGCAACATTGGCCAGGTGGCAGCACGACAAGCTCCGAAAATTAGAGTCAATCTCTAGGGCAAACCCGCCCAAAACCCAGGCGGACATTTCGCCAGCACCACACCCCCCATTTGCCAGCTTGGGGACATCGAACTGGTTACCACGTTCGCCAATAACCGCCTGGTACCTTGATCCTATCTGTTGCATGGCATCTCGCCTGCTCCCTCTCTGCCTTAGAATGGTTGAGCACATCACTTCCCCACCCTCCCTAATTTCCCTCCTTTCTGGTCAGGAGCCTGATCGAGCAGACGATCAGAGGTAGCCTGGCCGCCATTGTCGCTACTTTTGCTAACTTCTCTCGCGAGTGGAACCCTAATCCAGCAGAGCCTGGATCAAATATATTTGTCCTCGCGCTCTCTCTAATCTGATTGCATAATATACGAGATTTCTTAACCTGTCCATCACCTTTGTCAGAGGACAATGGCTACAGCAGCTAGCACCGTCGCTGCTAGTTATGCGAGTGTCAAGTACGTCCTTAGTCTTAAAATCTTGTGGTGTCGTACGTTCGATCTTCGTTCTGTCTCGCTAACTGTTTCGCCTTTAGGTAGAGTTACAAACAATCTAAGACGTTTTTTTCTCTCTCTCTCTTTCTCTTCATCGTATAAGTGTACTATTCAACATAAGCGCCGACATTCTATCAAAATAGTCGAGTTTCTCAGCTTCATCGTCTGATAGCTCTAAGCTCACCTGTCCCTTCATCTCACTCTTCCCCCTTGCATTTCACCCCGCACTCCACTCCCGATCAGATCGCTCGTCGCAACACAATCCCCGGCGACCATATCCGACGCTCACTCCCAACCAGCAGCTCTCTACGCTCCTCCACCGCACCTCACCGCCTCACACTCCTCCTCCAGACGCCGGCCCATCCAGATCGTCGCTCTCAGCAGCAACAGCAGCCATCACCGGAGCCGATCAGTTTCCTCCGGAGACTCCGGATGGCTCAGGAAAGCCGCTTTAACCGGCGCGGGTCTAGCAGCCGGCAGCGGCATTGGCTGCGTCTTAATGCGTCAAGATGGTCTTGATATTTTTAACAGTATTCTAGGAGGAGGGGGTGGGGGAGGCGGTAGCGGCGGCGGGGGAGGCGGAGGAGGGGGTGGTGGAGGGGGGAAGGGACGAGGCGGGGGAAAGCGGAATTGGTGGGAGTGGGACGCGGCTGTAGCAGCGGAGGATGACGAGGAATCGGAATCGGAGGACGAGGAGAGCGACGACGAGGAGGAGTCGGATGAGGAGGAGGAGGACGAGGAGGAGGAAGAGGAAGAGGAGGAGGGGGATGCGAAGGCGAAGGAGGCGGCGGGAAAGAAGGAGGCGGAGGAGAAGGCGAAGAAGGAGAAGGAGAAGAAAGCGGCGGCTGCGGCGGTTAAAGCGGAGGAGTTCGACCCTCATGGCATGCGGGTGAGAGTCAATCGAACCCTCACAGCATGCGGGTGAGATTCGGTTCAACCCTTATCATCATTAGGGGGTGAGAATCAAATGAGTCGACACACAGCATGCGTGTGAGGATCAACTGGAGCGCGCCTCGTCTTAATCAGCGGAAGAAGTTGCGTGAGGAGATGACACCTTAAAAAAATCCTGAAGGCAATCGAAAACACTCTTGCTTGCGAACATACCGCACTGCCGTGCCCACGCCGCATTGCGACTATTGACTCCTCGACTCACTAGTCATGTCGCCTCTATCCTAGCGCAATCCCGCCCCTCACTCTGCACTCCCCTCTTTCCTCGTCCCACTCTCCACGCTCCATTCCCCACGCCCCGCACCGCATACCAAAGACGAGAAAAAGCGTCGTCTGCTCATCGTGCTCGATGTTCTCCTCGCCGTTGTTTCCCCCTCATTCCCCCCCACGCGGGCGCGCGCGTGGCGGGGGACAAGCTGAGGACGACGAAGCTCTTCTTTTGCCTCAATATCTTCCTTCCTCCCTCCCTACTTCTCGCCCTCCTCCCTTCCGCCCTCTCCCCCCCCACCTCCCCCCCACGCGGGCACGCGCATGGCGGTAGACAAGGTCAGCTTAATAAAGCCCTCTGTCGCCTCATATTCTCGCCCCTCCCATTCTCTCGCCCCTCCCCCTCCCCCCTTCCCCTCCCACACCAGGCGGGCACGCGCGTGGCGGTGGACAAGCTGAGCACGACGAAGCGGTACCGCGTGGCGGACGTTGACCTGGTTGACCAGCGCAGCGACCGCGTCATTCCCAAGGCAGACGGGTTCTACGAGATGGTGTCGGTGGGCAAGGGCACCGTGTGCACGCGCGCGCAGCTCGAGGCCGAGGTGGCCAACATGGCGTCCAGCGGCATGTTCCAGATGGTGGAGGCCGATACCGTCGCCAACCCGGATGGATCCATCAAGGTACTTGTAGCGAAGTGCGGGTCGCTTAAAACGGGGATGGGATGAGGTGGGGGGGAGGTCGAGAGGCGGAGGTGGCTAGCGAACATAGCGTCCAGCGGCATGTTCCAGATGGTGGAGGCCGATACCGTCGCCAACCCAGATAGATCGATTAAGGTTCGTGTAGAGAAGCAGAGGATATAACGAGTCGAGTCTTGCTTAAAATGGGGATGAGGTGGGGTGGTTCTGAGAGGCGGAGGTGGCGAACATGGCGTCCAGCGGCATGTTCCAGATGGTCGAGGCCGACACTGTTGCTAACCCGGACGGGTCTATTAAGATGCTTATAATGAAGCGGGGGTTATAACGAGTCGGGTCGTGCTTATTATGGGGATGAGGTAGGATGGATTTTGAAAGGCAGAGGCGGCGAACAAGCGTTCCAGATGGTGGAGCGGCTGCAGCAATGCCCTTGCTTCCGTAACTGATCCCTCCGTGCCCTCCCTCGCCCCTTCCACCACCTTCCCCGCACCCCGTTTCCCCCATCCCCCACCCCCCCACAACCCGCACTCCCATTTTTCCCCCACAACCCTGCGTTCCATGCATGGCCCACAGCTGGAGGTGAAGGTTCTGGAGGCGCAGTGGCAGGCGGCGAAGACGGTGCAGTGCAGTGTGTCATCATCGGGCTCGTGCAGCCGGACGCTGCAGGCGTGGAACGGCTGTGGCTCACTCCTGCCTTTCCCTGCCCCTGCCGCCACCTCCCCGCACCCTGTTCCCCCTGTCCCCGCCCCCCGTTTCCCCAACCCAACAACCACTCATTCCTTATGCGTGTTGCAGCTGGAGGTGAAGGTTCTTGAAGCGCAGTGGCAGGCAGCCAAGACGGTGCGGTGTGTGAACATGGGACTCGTGCAGCCGGACGCCTCAGGGCAGGAGGCATCGGAGGACGCGGCGAAGCAGGAGGCGGCGTACGCGGAGCGGCTGAGGCAGGCACGGCAGTGCCTGCTGCCACGCAAGGTGGAGAACGAGCTCAGCGCCATGGTGCAGCGCGAGGGCCGCCTCACTGCACGCATGCTGCAGAAGATCCGGGATCGTATTCTCAAGTGGTACCACGACAAGGGCTATGCGTGCGCCAACGTGAGTGCGCCTTGTGTGTGGGTGGTGGTGAGTGGGTGGGCCATGGATGGTAAGGGCTTGAGTGGGTGGGTGGGTGGGTGGGTGGGTGGGTGGGTGCATAGCTTGCAACATGCCGCAGAAGATTAGGGATTGCATCCTGAAGTGGTGCTAGGACAAGGGCTACGCCTGTGCCAACATGAGTGCCGTTTGGTAGGGGAATGTGCGTCATAGGTGGGGGGGTGGATCGTCAGTATGTGTGTGGATTGCATTGTAACATGCTGCAGAAGATGAGGGATTGCATTCTCAAGTGGTATCACGACAAGGGCTACGCGTGCGCCAACGTGAGTGCTTGCCATGGTGGTTCGAGGTGCGTGGTAGGTGGGTGGGCATTGTGTGTGAGATGGTGGAGGAGGGTGACGTCACGGGCGTGGAGTGCAGTGCCGAGCCCCCTTTCTCCCTCCTCCCACCCTCCACTCCTCCCACATTTCTTCCATGCCACCTTTTCCTCCTCCAGGTGATCAACTTTGGCAACCTGAACGCCTGACATTGTGTGCGAGGTGGTGGAGGGCGATGTGACGGGCGTGGAGTGCAATTGCCAAGTCAACCCCATCAGCCGCCACCACTCCTCCCGCCTCCCTTTCCACTATTTCTCCTCCATTTCAGGTGATCAACTTTGGCAATCTGAACACGCCTGACATCGTGTGCGAGGTGGTGGAGGGCGATGTGACGGGTGTGGAGGTGCAGTTTCTCGACAAGATGGGGCAGCGCTGCGAAGGCATCACTGACGAACGCGTTGTGATGCGAGAGCTTCCCATTGAGGTGAGGGGCAGGGGGAGAAGGGGGGGAAGTGGGGAGAAGAACTGGGAAATGATGGATAGGGTGAGGGGGGAATTCAGGGGCAACTGGACCAACCGAATCGACCGAATAGGTGTTCAACATAGAGGCGGGGCTCAAGGTGCTGCAGAGCATCTCCCACCCCCCACTTGCATCAAACATCCCCCATCCGTTCCCGCGCGCACCCTTCTCCCTTAACCCCAGATCAAGCCAGGCAACGTGTTCAACATCGAGGCGGGGCGCTGGGCGCTGCAGAGGATCTCCCATCCCCCACTCGCATCAAGCATCCTCCACTCTTTCTCCCACCCGTTCCGACACCCCCTTTCCCCAATCCCTCCTTACCACACCGCAGATCAAGCCAGGCAACGTGTTCAACATCGAGGCGGGCCGCAAGGCCCTTCAGAGCATCTCGTCACTGCAGCTGTTCGCCAACATGGAGGTCAACCCGCGCCCCGACGACCAGCTGGAGGGCGGCATTGTGATGGAGGTGAAGGTCCGCGAGCAGGAACCGACCTCTGCTGAGGTGCAGACGGAGTGGAGCATCCAACCTGGAGATACTGGGAAACCCACGGTGAGCTACTGGCAGGGGGCAGGGTGGGCAGGGTGTTGGGTAGGGCGTAGGGTAGTGTGTGGGGTGTGCAGTGCGGTGTAGTTGTCGGGAGGTCAACCCGCGCCCCGACGACCAGCTGGAGGGCGGCATTGTGATGGAGGTGAAGGTCCGCGAGCAGGAACCGACCTCTGCTGAGGTGCAGACGGAGTGGAGCATCCAACCTGGAGATACTGGGAAACCCACGGTGAGCTGCTGGCAGGGGGCAGGGTGGGCAGGGTGTTGGGTAGGGCGTAGGGTAGTGTGTGGGGTGTGCAGTGCGGTGTAGTTGTCGGGAGGTCAACCCGCGTCCCGACGACCAGCTGGAGGGCGGCATTGTGATGGAGGTGAAGGTCCGCGAGCAGGAGCCGACTTCTGCTGAGGTGCAGACGGAGTGGAGCATCCAACCTGGTGATACCGGCAAGCCCACGGTGAGTGGAATGCAGGGTTTGGGGTTTGCAGTGCCATGTGCCGGGATGTGCTGTGGTCGGTGCGGGGCCTGTGTGTGCGTGTGCTCGCATTGTGATGGAGGTGAAGGTCCGCGAACAGGAGCCCACTTCTGCTGAGGTGCAGACCGAGTGGAGCATCCAGCCAGGGGACACTGGGAAACCCACGGTGAGTGGAACGCAGGGGTGTGTGTGAGTGGAACGCAGGGGTGTGTGTGAGTTGTGGGGCGCAGGCATGTGGAGCTGTGTAGTGTTGGCCTATGATGGATTATACGCGTTTAGCGTATATATGCGCAAAGGGTCTAGAGCGTATAATCAATCATAGGTGTTGGCAGCGTGGGGCGGTAATGGTGATGACGACAGCTCCTCACTTCTCCTTCGCCATTCTCCTTCCGGTTCTCGCACTGCACACACCGCTGTCTCTCTTATTCATCTCCACCCGCTGTCTCCTAATGCCAGGTGTCCATCCTGCCAGGTGGCAGCGTGTCATTCGAGCACCGCAACATCAACGGGCTCAATCGCTCCGTCACCGGCTCTGTCAGCGCCGGCAACCTGCTGTCGCCGCAGGTACTGTACTAGTAGTAACGATTGAGGATATGAATAACTAGTAATGTACATACACGATATGTTTTATGGTGTTGGCGCCGATGCCTCCCCCAAACTGGATGTCTTTTGAGTCGACTTAAAAGACATCGTCGACTCAAAAGTCATTTCACTAGTGGTGTACATACACGATATGTTTTATGGTGTTGGCAGGCGCTGCCTCCCCCAAACCGGCAGTTCATTCTGACTGTGTCGCTGTTATAAGCTTGTGTCATCATGTTCAGTTATCATGTTTTCCCGCACACCACAATCTGGTGCTGTAAGCTCATGATGTCTATGCTACGTGTGATTCGGTCCCGCAAGTAATCAATTTCTTTCCCACCTGACCCACCTGACCCACCTGACCCACCTGACCCACCTGACCCACCTGACCCACCTGACCCTCCTGACCCTCCTGACCCACCTGACCCACCTGACCCACCTGACCCACCTGACCCACCTGACCCACCTGACCCACCTGACCCTCCTGACCCTCCTCAACCTCAACCTCGGGACCCTACTTCCGTGCTACCTTCCCTTCCCTCACTCCGCTAAACCCGACCACACCCTAACACCTCGCCCCCAGACGATCTGGGTGACTTTTGAGTCGACTCAAAAGTCACCTCGTCACCCTAACACCTCGCCCCCAGACGATCTGGTGTTCAAGCTGGAGTACGTGCCGTGCATCCATACATTGATGCCGTGCCGACATGAGGCACAGTTACGAGGACCATACGGTCCATACCCCCTCTCCCACCCTATCTACACAACCCCCCTTTCCCCCCACCTCCCCCACCTCCCCTCCCCAAACCCCTCGCCACAGGACGATCTAGTGTTGAAGCTGGAGTACGGGCATCCGTACATTGATGGGGTGGACGGCCCGACCAATGAGCCCGTAGTGAGGGCAGTTATACCCCCTTCTCCCACCGTGACCCCCTTCTCCCACCGTGACCCCCTTCTCCCATCGTGACCCCCCTCTCCCACCGTGACCCCCTCTCCCACCGTGACCCCCTTCTCCCACCGTGACCCCCTCTCCCACCGTGACCCCCTTCTCCCACCGTGACCCCCTTCTCCCACCGTGACCCCCTTCTCCCACCGTGACCCCCTTCTCCCACCGTGACCCCCTTCTCTCACCGTGACCCCGTTCTCCCACCGTGACCCCCTTCTCCCACTGTGACCCCCTCTCCCACCGTGACCCCTTCTCCCACCGTGACCCCCTCTCCCACCCCATCCCCTCCACCGCCATATACCCCCCTCGCCATATACCCCCCTCGCCATATACCCCCCTCGCCATATACCCCCCTCGCCACAGGACGATCTAGTGTTCAAGCTGGAGTACGTGCATCCGTACATTGATGGGGTGGACGACACGGGTCGCAACCGCGTGGGGCGAGTGACGTGCTTCAACCACCGCAAGGTGTCGGCTGTGTTCACGGGCGGCCCGTCGCTGGATGAGGTGCCGGCCATCTGGGTGGACCGTGCCGGCATCAAGGCCACCGTCAGCGAGGTGAGTCGTGGTTTGTAGCACAAGAATGGTGCAAAGAGGTGGCACTGAGGCGACGAAGCAGGGGTGACGTGCTTCAACCACCGCAAGGTGTCGGCCGTTTTCACAGGCGGGCCATCTCTGGATGAGGTGCCGGCCATCTGGGTGGACCGTGCCCGCATCAAGGCCACCGTCAGCGAGGTGCGTTTCTAAGTAGGGACAGGGTGGGTAACCGAAGGTGGAAAGGTGTGAGACAGGATGGAAAGTGGTGGGAAATGGGGCGAAAGAATGGTGAAGAACGGTGCAAAAAGGTGGCAATGAGGCGAGGAAGCAGGGTTGAGGTGTTTCAACCACCGCAATGTGTCTGCCGTTTTCCCGGGGGGGGCGTTGCTCGATGAGGTGCCGGCCATATGAGTGGACAGTGCCGGCGTCGTCAAGGCCACCGTCAGCGACGTGAGGCCGAGAGGGAGCAGGGACGATGTGGGACAGGGCACAAGGTGGTCTCAAGCAGGGACGATGTGGGACAGGGACGATGTGGGACGATGTGGGACGATGTGGGACGATGTGGGACGATGTGTGACGATGTGGGACGATGTGGGACGATGAGGGACGATGTGGGACGATGTGGGACGATGTGGGACGATGTGGGACGATGTGGGACGATGTGGGACGATGTGGGACGATGTGGGACGATGTGGGACGATGTGTGACGATGTGTGACGATGTGTGACGATGTGTGACGATGTGTGATGATGTGTGACGATGTGTGACGATGTGGGACGATGTGGGACGATGTGTGACGATGTGTGACGATGTGGGACGATGTGGGACGATGTGTGACGATGTGGGACGATGTGGGACGATGTGGGACGATGTGTGACGATGTGTGACGATGTGGGACGATGTGTGACGATGTGTGACGATGTGGGACGATGTGTGACGATGTGTGACGATGTGAAATGTGTGACGATGTGTGACGATGTGTGACGATGTGTGACGATGTGTGACGATGTGGGACGATGTGTGACGATGTGTGACGATGTGTGACTATGTGTGACGATGTGTGACGATGTGTGACGATGTGTGACGATGTGTGACGATGTGTGACGATGTGTGACGATGTGGGACGATGTGGGACGATGTGGGACGATGTGTGACGATGTGTGACGATGTGTGACGATGTGGGACGATGTGGGACGATGTGGGACGATGTGTGACGATGTGTGACGATGTGTGACGATGTGGGACGATGTGTGACGATGTGTGACGATGTGGGACGATGTGTGACGATGTGGGACGATGTGTGACGATGTGGGACGATGTGTGACGATGTGGGACGATGTGGGACGATGTGGGACGATGTGGGACGATGTGGGACGATGTGGGACGATGTGGGACGATGTGGGACGATGTGTGACGATGTGTGACGATGTGTGACGATGTGTGACGATGTGTGACGATGTGTGACGATGTGTGACGATGTGGGACGATGTGGGACGATGTGTGACGATGTGTGACGATGTGTGACGATGTGTGACGATGTGGGACGATGTGGGACGATGTGTGACGATGTGTGACGATGTGGGACGATGTGTGACGATGTGGGACGATGTGGGACGATGTGCGACGATGTGCGACGATGTGCGACGATGTGCGACGATGTGCGACGATGTGCGACGATGTGCGACGATGTGCGACGATGTGCGACGATGTGCGACGATGTGCGACGATGTGCGACGATGTGCGACGATGTGCGACGATGTGCGACGATGTGCGACGATGTGGGACGATGTGCAACGATGTGGGACGATGTGGGACGATGTGGGACGATGTGCGACGATGTGCGACGATGTGCGACGATGTGCGACGATGTGCGACGATGTGCGACGATGTGGGACGATGTGGGACGATGTGGGACGATGTGGGACGATGTGTGACGATGTGGGACGATGTGGGACGATGTGGGACGATGTGTGACGATGTGGGACGATGTGGGACGATGTGGGACGATGTGTGACGATGTGGGACGATGTGTGACGATGTGTGACGATGTGTGACGATGTGTGACGATGTGTGACGATGTGTGACGATGTGGGACGATGTGTGACGATGTGTGACGATGTGTGACGATGTGGGACGATGTGGGACGATGTGTGACGATGTGTGACGATGTGTGACGATGTGTGACGATGTGCGACGATGTGCGACGATGTGCGACGATGTGCGACGATGTGGGACGATGTGCGACGATGTGCGACGATGTGCGACGATGTGCGACGATGTGCGACGATGTGCGACGATGTGCGACGATGTGCGACGATGTGGACGATGTGGGACGATGTGGGACGATGTGGGACGATGTGGGACGATGTGTGACGATGTGTGACGATGTGGGACGATGTGGGACGATGTGGGACGGCGACGATGTGCGACGATGTGCGACGATGTGCGACGATGTGCGACGATGTGCGACGATGTGCGACGATGTGCGACGATGTGCGACGATGTGCGACGATGTGCGACGATGTGCGACGATGTGGGACGATGTGGGACGATGTGGGGCGATGTGGGGCGATGTGGGACGATGTGGGACGATGTGGGACGATGTGGGACGATGTGCGACGATGTGCGACGATGTGCGACGATGTGCGACGATGTGCGACGATGTGGGACGATGTGGGACGATGTGTGACGATGTGTGACGATGTGGGACGATGTGGGACGATGTGGGACGATGTGCGGCGATGTGCGGCGATGTGCGACGATGTGCGGCGATGTGCGGCGATGTGCGACGATGTGCGACGATGTGCGACGATGTGCGACGATGTGCGACGATGTGCGACGATGTGCGACGATGTGCGACGATGTGCGACGATGTGGGACGATGTGGGACGATGTGGGACGATGTGGGACGATGTGGGACGATGTGGGACGATGTGGGACGATGTGTGACGATGTGGGACGATGTGGGACGATGTGGGACGATGTGTGACGATGTGTGACGATGTGTGACGATGTGTGACGATGTGTGACGATGTGTGACGATGTGTGACGATGTGTGACGATGTGGGACGATGTGGGACGATGTGGGACGATGTGGGACGATGTGGGACGATGTGGGACGATGTGGGACGATGTGGGACGATGTGGGACGATGTGGGACGATGTGGGACGATGTGTGACGATGTGTGACGATGTCTGACGATGTGGGACGATGTGGGACGATGTGGGACGATGTGTGACGATGTGTGACGATGTGGGACGATGTGGGACGATGTGGGACGATGTGGGACGATGTGTGACGATGTGTGACGATGTGTGACGATGTGTGACGATGTGTGACGATGTGTGACGATGTGTGACGATGTGTGACGATGTGTGACGATGTGTGACGATGTGTGACGATGTGTGACGATGTGTGACGATGTGTGACGATGTGTGACGATGTGGGACGATGTGGGACGATGTGGGACGATGTGTGACGATGTGTGACGATGTGTGACGATGTGGGACGATGTGGGACGATGTGGGACGATGTGGGACGATGTGGGACGATGTGGGACGATGTGGGACGATGTGGGACGATGTGGGACGATGTGGGACGATGTGGGACGATGTGGGACGATGTGGGACGATGTGGGACGATGTGTGACGATGTGGGACGATGTGGGACGATGTGGGACGATGTGGGACGATGTGTGACGATGTGGGACGATGTGGGACGATGTGGGACGATGTGTGACGATGTGTGACGATGTGGGACGATGTGGGACGATGTGGGACGATGTGTGACGATGTGTGACGATGTGTGACGATGTGTGACGATGTGTGACGATGTGTGACGATGTGTGACGATGTGTGACGATGTGTGACGATGTGGGACGATGTGGGACGATGTGTGACGATGTGTGACGATGTGTGACGATGTGTGACGATGTGTGACGATGTGTGACGATGTGTGACGATGTGTGACGATGTGTGACGATGTGTGACGATGTGTGACGATGTGTGACGATGTGTGACGATGTGTGACGATGTGTGACGATGTGCGACGATGTGCGACGATGTGCGACGATGTGCGACGATGTGCGACGATGTGCGACGATGTGCGACGATGTGCGACGATGTGCGACGATGTGCGACGATGTGCGACGATGTGCGACGATGTGCGACGATGTGCGACGATGTGCGACGATGTGCGACGATGTGCGACGATGTGCGACGATGTGCGACGATGTGCGACGATGTGGGACGATGTGGGACGATGTGGGACGATGTGGGACGATGTGGGACGATGTGGGACGATGTGGGACGATGTGTGATGATGTGTGACGATGTGTGACGATGTGGGACGATGTGGGACGATGTGTGACGATGTGTGACGATGTGTGACGATGTGTGACGATGTGTGACGATGTGTGACGATGTGTGACGATGTGTGACGATGTGTGACGATGTGTGACGATGTGTGACGATGTGGGACGATGTGGGACGATGTGGGACGATGTGGGACGATGTGGGACGATGTGGGACGATGTGGGACGATGTGGGACGATGTGGGACGATGTGGGACGATGTGGGACGATGTGGGACGATGTGTGACGATGTGGGACGATGTGGGACGATGTGGGACGATGTGTGACGATGTGGGACGATGTGGGACGATGTGTGACGATGTGGGACGATGTGGGACGATGTGGGACGATGTGGGACGATGTGGGACGATGTGTGACGATGTGTGACGATGTGTGACGATGTGTGACGATGTGTGACGATGTGTGACGATGTGTGACGATGTGGGACGATGTGGGACGATGTGTGACGATGTGTGACGATGTGTGACGATGTGTGACGATGTGTGACGATGTGTGACGATGTGTGACGATGTGTGACGATGTGTGACAGGATTAGAAGCTGTGATGAGGTGCCTGGCCTTGCCAGCCCTCTGGGTGGACTGTGCTGGCATCAAGGCCACCGTCAGTGAGTTGAGGGGCGGGCTGGGTAGAAAAGGCGACCGAGAAGGAGCGACCACCTGCTTCAGTGTGTACGCCTGATGACAGCTTAACCATATGCCACCATGAGAAGGAGCGACCACCCTCATGTGTCTCTCCCTCCCCCCTCCTCCTCTCTTCCGTCCTCATCCACAGAACACAAGCACTGCACGCACAGCTTCAAGCTGCCCTCCGGCCTGCATGCCCACCCACACCCGACGGCTGTTCCAGCGGCTCATATTTCAGATTTTTTTTTCCCCTCACCACCCCTTTCCCTTGCTCCCTTCTCCTTGCTCCCATCCCCATCCCTCACTCGCAGAACTTCACCCGTCAGAGCCGCATCACGTACGGGGCGGTGATAGAGGAGGTGACGACGCGCGATGAGAACACGAGCATCTGCACGCACGGCTTCAAGATGCTTCCCTCGGGCCTGCCCACCCCCGACGGCCCGCCCACCACGCTCAGCGGCACGGGTGTCGACCGCGTGGCATTCCTGCAGGCGAATGTGACACGTGACAATACCAACTTTGTCAATGGCACGCCTGTTGGCGACCGCACGATTTTCCAGGTGAGGAAACTGAAAGAGGTAACTTCTTCTTGGCGAGGTGCCGGCGCTGAGGGTCCTCCCACCACGCTCAGCCGCACGGGTGTCGACCGCGTGGCATTCCTGCAGGCCAATGTGACACGTGACAACACCAACTTCGTGAACGGCACGCCCGTTGGCGACCGTACCATCTTCCAGGTAAGAAGGCTGGGAAGCAGACACAGGTCGTGAGGTGCTGCCTCCGAGGGCCTGGCCACCACGCTCAGTGGCACAGGTGGGGATCGTGTGGCGTTCCTGCAAGCCAATGTCAAGGGTGACAACACCAACTTCGTGAACGGCACGCCCGTTGGCCACCGTACCATCTTCCAGGTAAAGAGGCCTGAAAGAGGTAGGCTTTTCTACAAGGTGCTGTATGCCGATGGCCCGCCCACCACGCTCACGCCCTTGACCTCCTTCACTGCCTTGACCCCTCCTTAGCTGCCACTGGCGGTGTCCGTTCGATGTGTTTCAACCCCCAATCCTCCCTTGTTCCTCCCCTTTCACACCACAGGTGGACCAGGGTCTGGGCATTGGCTCAGCCTTCCCCTTCTTCAACCGCCATCAGCTCACACACACGCGGTTCATGCAGCTCAGCGAGGAGGACGTGGACCGAGTGGACCGCCCGCCCATGGTGGGGGTGCTGCACGCGCGCTACGGAGGGTGCCTGGGCGACCTCCCATCCTACGAGGCGTATGCACTGGGTGGGCCGTATTCGGTCCGTGGGTATAACATGGGCGAGATTGGCGCTGCCAGGCGCTTCCTTGAGGTGGGTGCATTGGGAGACGGGGGTTTAGCTCTCTGTGTGGGTGTGGACCGAGGGAACCGCGTGGACCGAGGGAACCGCGTGGACTGAGGGAACTGCGTGGACCGCCCGCCCGCCCATTGTGGGGGTGCTGCACGCGCGCTACGGAAGGTTCCTGGGCGACCTGCCGTCATATGAAGTGTATACACTGGGCGGGCCGTATTCGGTCCGCGGGTACAACATGGGCGAGATTGGCGCTGCCAGGCGCTTCCTTGAGGTGCGTGGCTGGGTTGGCCTATGGTGGTGTTGATGTGTTTCACGTGCTGCCTGAGACGGTGCTTGGGGTGCTCGTCCCCCCTTCCCAACTTCCTGATCTTGTCCATGCAATGCCTGTCTCAAGTGCTTTGCACCTATGCCTCCCGTTAAACCTGAATGTTTTCCTCATCCCTGTCATCCCTGTCGTCTCTGCTGCCATGCATTCATCATCCCTCTCAGCTTGCGGGTGAGATCAGGGTCCCGGTCAAGACCACCCATGCCTACGCCTTTGCTGAGATGGCCTCAGACCTTGGCAGCTCCGGTATGGTTTCTGGTAACCCTACTGAGTTCTTCCGCCGAGCCGGCTTCGGCGCCTCGGTGGGTGCTGGTGTCAGGCTTGGCACCGTGCGTGCGGAGTACGCTCGGGATTGCAACATGGGCACTGGCTCATGGTTTGTCCGGTTCGGCGAGAGGTTCTAAACTCGAGTCTCTTGCAGTGCAATGCAAGGTTTCTTCACACGTGTGCTCTCTCTCTAGGCTTTATTCACTGAAAGAAATGTGCTTAGCACTTGAATTAGTACCGGAAAATGGTGTAGACTTAGGTGGCAATCTTAGTACAGCAGACTACATTAGCTTCCTCAACTCGATTATCCAGCTGGCATAAAGAAGGATCATAGATGCTTGCTGTTGGGGTTTGTCATGCGGGCTTGTGAATTAGTGCCACGTGTCTATTTCTGAAGTTGACCGTCTGATTGTCTACTACACTTCAATCCGAATGGCACTACACAAACCTAAGAGAGAAACACACATTTCTCATCGACGGTCATAAAGCAACTGCTCCTACATGGGACGCGAGAGATCATGTTTCCTCGCCCGTTTTCACACCCCTCTCGGGCAAACTCAAATCCTGCTGGGGCTCCGTATTGAATGATAAAATTGATGCAACACAAGCGCTGTTCCACCTCCCACCAACTCTACAGTGCAGGGACCACCAAGATTCGCGTCTCTCGAAATTCGTGCTCTTTCCATTTCCAACTCCCACCTTGCAGGTGGCAAGGCGCAGACGTGGAGCCTCTTTGTAGTGCCTTTTTCTCTATTCCGCTACGCTCCAAAGGAAGCCGCACTATCTTCAATGTTGACGGATAGACAGATAGATTAGGTGGGCTGGGCAATGACACACATCTAGCCACTTCAACTAAAGAAAACACAGGGTCACTATACTAAAAATTCCTGCCATACTAGTTGAAAGCTAGTTTCTGTTAGGAAGAGCTTTCAACAGGTATGGTAACCATCACTGAGGCGACGAGAGGATACGTGTGTGTGAGGGTGAATTCCGTCATGGAGCAGTTTCACTGACAATAGGTGAAGGTATTTTCCAGAAAAACAGTCAAGGTGATGCAAACAGTGGTTGAGAATGGATGGTTTGGCCAAAGAGCGACACCACCCTGTCTTAGTAAGCGTTATGGGCAAGGAAAAGAAAGGTGCCACACCAGAGCAGAAGGAAACTCGGTCGGGCTGAACTCGGAGGAATGTGGGTGAGTGCGATAAGGTTTGATAAGGATAACTACTTTTATTGGCGATATAATTTACACAACCACTCATTTTGAGTGGAAAAAGAGAGGGGATTCTGCCTACAACAAGCAATGCATCCAATCTGGATCTAAAAAACGTTCTCCCTTCATGCTGAGGCCAGCTCAAGCGAACTTGGAAGCAGGGACCGATTTGATAGCGCTGATTTGGTTGATCTCGCAGTGGAGAATGTGCTTCTCGCCGTTAATCACGGCATACATGGCATTAGGCGCGATGTAGTCGCAAAGGCGCTCCGTCTGGAACGGCTCGCCAGGGAGGTTGTTGCCAGAGTGAATCTGCACGCCGGTAATCACGGCGTAATCCGCGGTCGTGGGATCCACGGTCTGCGAGATAAGGTACTCGAGGTCGTCCGTGATAGCTTGGAGCGCGGCGCGGGTGACCTGAACCAAGTTAGGCTCGTCGGAGGTAACTCGGGCCGCAACCTTTTTCTTAAGGAGCACGTACTCGGCATTATCGGGGTCCTCGACGATGGGACCGCCCTTGCAAATGTCGCCGCGGATGGCGATGAGCGCACCGCACGCGTTACCCGGCTTACCGCGGCCGCGACGGAGCAGCGAACCGACCTCGCCAGTCTCACCGATGGACACGTGGGGGAAGCCGAAGAAGATGTCTGAACGGGGAAGACAGGGAACACGAGGCTGATTTAGAAATGTTCGACGACACAATTGTTTTCCCCATGACCCATACATATTTCTCTAAATTGAGTTATGTGTCACGTTCTGTAAATAACACATTTGGACGCTAGAAAACAGTAGTGGTACTTACATCGTTCCTTGGGCTTGCCGCTCTTGTCGCAGGGGAATTCAGGCGAGTGGCTCATGGCAGCCTTGAACCCCGTCTTGCCGCAGTTCACGAGCCCGCCCAGCCCGGCGATGTTGAAGCTCATGCCGAACTCGCGGTCGATCAGGTTCACGATCGGCCGGCACACCTCGTCGCGGCACGTGTTCACCAGAGCGATGCAGTTGTCGCGCTTAAAGCCCAAGTTGCGCAGCTCCTCCGCCACGGCGTGCATGAACGTCTCCTCCTGCATCGCGTTCGGGAACGTCGCCGCCATTGTTGCTAGCGCGGGCGCCGCGGCGCGCTTCGCGCGGGGAACGTATCCACCGTCGAAGGTCACCGGGGTGGGAGCAGCAGGAGCTGCGGGAGCGGAGCTCTTGGAGAGAAGAGCAAGGGCCGCGCCGCCAACAATACCGGCGCCGAGAATCGACGGGACGAGTACGCCGGAGTTGGCGGCAGGAGCAGCGGGAGCGGCGACGGACTGGCTGACGCTGGCGAAGAGAGCTTGATCGGACGCCTCGTTGGACTCAGCGGCGGCCCGCACGACGACGGCATGGCGCGCGCACTTGCAGCCGCGCGCGCAGCTGGTCTGCTTGGCGGCCTTAACGTGAGCAGAGGCCCGGAGCCCGGAGAAGCTGGGAATGGCGGAGCTGGAGACGGCAGACAACCCCGACTGCGCCAGTGTGGCGACAGGGGTCTTAGCGGCGAGGGAGGAAGTGGTAACAGCAGCCATTTTGCTCGTGTATTATTTAGATCAACGTCGTCGCCAGCAAAAGGCTGCTGAAGTATGAATCGTAAGGAGTGGATGCAGAGTGCAAGGATGTAGATGTCAGAGGAGATCCCTGTGTTGCGTTTTATAACTGTGGGAGTGGGCAGGTTGAGGAAGATAGGAGGTGAGTGAAAGCTACGGCAGAATTGTGGAGTCGCACCTTGGGTTCAGTTCAGGCTCTCACCGAGTCGCGCTGCTTGTTCATCCCCCATCAGCCAGGAATCTAGCTTTCAGGGGTTCGAGGTGTGATTGCATGATTGTTGAGTCAACCTGCCAGGGCGAAGGGCGAGTGGATGTGCTGGTGGCCTCAGACGGGCCATCTGGCAAGTGCTGACGATGTGAGGTCCACGTCAGTATTATCTGTGGTGTGGTGACATTGGCGCGAAAGAGGGCCGAGTACCGAAGCTGGCGCTAACCTGCTCACCCTCTTTACGAGCCAATGTCAAAATTGGTTACGATAAGCTCGTAGAGGAATTCTGGTGCTCTGTCCAACCAATATCAGCCCAGTTCACACGGGAAAGGGCCTCGCAGAGGAATTTCCAAATTTCAAGGTGTCAATCTAAAATTTCTGTAGGGTGATCGCCATTTGCTTTCGTTTCCAATTTCCCCCCTCATACCATTTCACAGGTGCTGATGAAATTGGCAGAGTTACAGGCTTCCAGAGCTCCGTCTTCTCGTGCTGCAGCATCATCCTTGGCAAAAATCTTGACAATGCATCTCTGCATGAAGAGATTTGGTATATGCGCCCGTCGATGACCATCTTCTCCCAATACAGCGTAACAGCGATTGTTTTCTAAGAAGACGATTTCGTCATACTATGATGCCTGCAGATCGGTGGTTCTCCGCTGTTATGCTCCGAACCAGCACGAGACAATAGTTGTAATATATTCTTCAATTATCCGAACGCATTTCAATGTAGCATTACGTGGAAACGGATTACCTGCTTTATATGCAGGTGATGGGGACGCGTGGGAAGTTCTTGGAGGATGACGAACCACGGCGACCAACGAAGCTTTAGGTGGGTCATCAGGTATGCCTGAATTCATCGCTAACACGAGGCAAGAAAGACGCGCTTTTACAAACAGTACCGGACGACCCCCAACCTAGCATATAGCGCACGCTCATAAGGTGCTAAATGCATTTCAGCAGGTTCCCTATGTGAGTCCAATTAAGATGTTCCCCCTTGCGTGGCTCAGCCTATTCGGGAAGAACCAGAGATCAGGGCTGTAGAAGCAAGGGCATTTGCCCTTAGTGCCCTGAACATCCCGGCCTTTCGAGCAGCTCGACCATTTAAAGTGTTAGATCCGCATGGCACCCGTGACGGTTACGGGCCTCGTTTGGGCCTTCCCCTGAATCAAAGCTTCGGTTTCTGTTTCGAAGGACACACCCCCCCCGAATTCCCCCCGCCTCCCCCTCATACCCCCACTCCCCGATGATTTTTCCTATGGTGCTTTTGCCTACGATGTAGAGGCTGTAGGTGTGTGGATGAGTAGTTCGTATGTAACCTTTTCCTGCTAAGAGAAAACATCCTCCTGTGTTACGTCAGAAACAAGCACACTTTCCTAAGAAGCCCTGATTTCAAGTTTTTAATTTGGACTGGGCCCGTGAAAATCAGGGCCGGAATTCGAGCAGCTCAGGACTCAAAAGTTTTGGTCCCAGGGACTTCGACAGGCCTGCCGGAGATCTCAAGGCCTAACAGGTAGCCCCCTACAACTTACAGGTCCTTATTAGCAGCTAACCAGTGAATCTGGTCAATATCATAGATTTTTTTTGCAGTTGAGTGAAACATGTATGTTGGACTACCGATGTGGTAACGTACTCTAAAATCTGCTTCACAGATACTTCAATGTGGATTAGCACAATTATACCTATCTGTGACGACAGCAATATTGTCACGTCAGCTTCACGTGACATCGTAATACCTCTTTTGAGAAAAGTTGTAGCACGTCTGTGCCTGAACATGCTCGATGGAATGGTATAGAAAATGTTTCTTTTCGGGAATGGGAGAAAACGTTTCGACCTCTTTCAGAGCAGAGGATAACCCTACACAAGCATGGAGATGTCGAAAAGAGAGAACATACGCTCATCCAATGGGAAGTCGAGAATGGTTGGATATGGGTTCCGTCGAGAATTGAAGGATGATGCTGTTGTGTAGGCTAAGGGTAGGTGCTGCGATTGGAAAATTAGCAAGCGCTTTAATGACGCTTTATTGGAAAACCATCACTAATGGACGGCAAAGCTACGGCCAGATACTATGTGCCTCAACCCATAATTCCTTCCTTGCAATAGTAAACTAGAGTCACGAACGTTCCTGCCAGACTAAACGAAAGCTAGTTTCTGTTAGGAAGAGCGTTCAAAAGGTATGGAAACAATCACTTAGGGGACAAGAAGATACTTGTGTATGAGGGGAAAGTCCGTTATGGATAAGCTTCAAATGGCAATTGGTGAAAGCAATTTCCAGAGAGAAATCCAAGGTGATATACCAGACGGCTATGCAAACAGAGGGGATGGATGATTTGGCCAAAGAGCAACATCACCCTACCCTATTAAGCGTTATGGTCAAGAAAGGAATTAGGTACCAGGAAACACAGTAGGGCAGAAAGAGGAATGTGGGTGAGTGGGATAAGGATTGATAAGGATAACTACTTTTATTAGCGATACAATTTACACAAACCACTCATTATGAGTGGAAAAAGACGGAATTCAGCCTAGCAACAAGCAATCCATCCAATCTGGATTTCTCCCCTCATGCTGAGGTCAGCCTAAGAGAACTTGTAGGCAGGGACCGATTTGATGGCGCTGATCTGGTTGATCTCGCAGTGGAGAATGTGCTTCTCGCCGTTAATCACCGCGTACATAGCGTTGGGCGCGATGTAGTCGCAGAGGCGCTTCGTCTGGAACGGCTCGCCAGGGAGGTTGTTCCCGGAGTGAATCTGCACGCCGGTAATCACGGCGTAATCCGCGGTCGTGGGATCCACGGTCTGCGAGATAAGGTACTCGAGGTCGTCCGTGATAGCTTGGAGCGCGGCGCGGGTGACCTGCACCAAGTTAGGCTCGTCGGAGGTAACTCGGGCCGCCACCTTTTTCTTCAGCAGCACATACTCAGCATTGTCGGGGTCCTCAACGATGGGACCGCCGGCGCAAATGTCGCCGCGGATGGCGATGAGCGCACCGCACGCGTTACCCGGCTTACCGCGACCGCGACGGAGCAGCGAGCCGACCTCGCCGGTCTCGCCGATGGACACGTGGGGGAAGCCGAAGAAGATGTCTGAGAGGGGACAGCGGGAGCACGAGGAAGGATAAGAGTCAGAATTCACATGATCCAACAGATAGCTATAATTCTCCAGCGTTCTGCAAATTTCACGTCTGGACGCGGAGAACCCGACGAGGTACTTACATCGTTCCTTGGGCTTGCCGCTCTTGTCGCAGGGGAATTCAGGCGAGTGGCTCATGGCAGCCTTGAAACCCGTCTTGCCGCAGTTCACGAGCCCGCCCAGCCCGGCGATGTTGAAGCTCATGCCAAACTCACGGTCGATCAGGTTCACGATCGGCCGACACACCTCGTCGCGGCACGTGTTCACCAGAGCGATGCAGTTGTCGCGCTTAAAGCCCAAGTTGCGCAGCTCCTCCGCCACGGCGTGCATGAACGTCTCCTCCTGCATCGCGTTGGGGAACGTCGCCGCCATTGTTGCCAGCGCGGCCGGCGCGGCGCGCTTCGCGCGGGCGACGTAGCCACCCTCGAAGGTCACCGGGGCGGGAGCAGCGGGAGCGGCAGGAGCGGAGCCCTTTGAAAGAAGAGCGAGTGCGGCGCCACCGACAATACCGGCGCCGAGAATCGACGGGACGAGTACGCCGGAGTTGGCGGGAGCGGCGGGAGCGGCGACGGACTGGCTGACGCTGGCAAAGAGAGCTTGCTCGGACGCCTCGTTGGACTGAGCTGCGGCCCGCACGACGACGGCATGGCGCGCGCACTTGCAGCCGCGAGCGCAGCCGGTCTTCTTGGAGGCCTTGACGGAGGCGGAAGCGCGGAGGCCGGAGAAGCTGGGAAGGGCGGAGCTTGAGGACGCAGTCAACCCTGACTGTGCCAGTGCAGCGGCGGGGGCCTTAGCGGCGAGGGAGGAAGAGGCGACAGCAGCCATTTCTTTAAGAATATTAGACTAGTGGTCTATTTGTGGTTAGTGGCGGCTGCTGAAGGCGACTTGTGGTGTAGGCGAGATTGAATTGCGAAGTGTATTTGAGCTTCAATTTATACTCTACTCAGTTGGGGGATGCCAAGGAGGCCCACTCTTTGAGTGGTTAGGGGGGGTCGTGTGGGAGTGTTGGAGGGGGACAAATTCCAAATTCGAGAACTAGCGAGCCACGCATCTTGTTGCCCCCTCCTGTGGCCTAGAAATCCAGCCATCCAGCTTGTCGATCTTCGATCACGTGTGATGCATCTTGCCTGCATCTTGGGGACACTCGAACCGCTTGTGAATGCAAATGGCGCCAGGTGGCAATGCTGACGAGGAACCCATCCACGTCGGTCCTTTTTGTGGTTAGTGGATATTGGCGGGTAACCGTCGAGCACCTCGCCGAAGTCCCAAAGCTGGTGCAAAATGGTTGACCTGATCGCGAACCTGGGTCAAGGTTGGCTTGGGATAACCCCGACGAGGAATTTCCTCCCTCTGGCCTGCCAAATCAGCCCAGTTCTGTCAGGAAAATTGGTAGGTAGAGGAATTCGGGACATTCCGGGTCGTCTTCCAACAAATGTGATGCATCTGCTTGCTCGCACCCCAAATTTCCGTCTCTCTCTCTGCTCAAGATGCCAATGCCAAGTTTTTGCTTTGCTTCGTAATTTGATCATCCAGACCAGACACCTAGCCAAGCGTGCTCAACATTCCAAGCATGCTCTGCTTGTAAGTTTTAGCAGCTATGGGTCGTCTTCCGCTTACAGCTAGAGTCTAGCGGACACTCGTAGTACGGGTGAGTAGTTGCTCGTAGTGCTCGTAGCACGCAATGCTTTAACGGGCCTCTCGGTTGGCGAACGGCCGTCGGTTTCTCTTGCAACATTACTTTTTTCGTAGAGAATCTTGCTCATGTTTTAGGTTATCTCAAGAAATTATTCGTGCTGACCGGAAGTGGGTAGCTTCTACTCTTCACATTTTGGTAAGCATGCTCTCTTTTCCTCGCAGTCAAACCTAACTGTTCAAGCGGTATTCACGATTCCGCGTTGCAAGGATATCAAATCCCCAACAGCAGGACATTCCCGGCAAGGATTCGAACGGAGACCCGCAAGCATGCGCGCTGCAGTGGGTATTAGCTGATGGCGATTCGCTTTTGCTGTTCCCTACGTGCCACAATTGGCGCTGAAGCGGCAAAATCATGTGAAGCCGCCAGGCCGCCGCTGCAGCGTTGACCGACTCTACCTCTGGTCCTGATGCCTCGGTCGTGCTATCATTCTGCGTGAACATTTCACCACCATTCTAGCATGCGGAAGCTACCAGCGTGTGGCGCGTCGACAAACGTGTTGGATCATCTCGCGTCAGAAACAACATGCTACGAAGACTGCTGCGCGCGCGTCTCACTCGTGGACCAAAAACACGGCCGGAGTTGTGATAGTTGAGAGATAAAGAAGGGAGCCCAGAAGTCGCATAAAAGTAGCCCTTTTCACCACCGCGACTACTGCGTTCAATCTTTCCACTTGGTGATGATCCGAGTCGCCAAGGGCCCTTGCACACGTCTCCGTCGACCCATGGAGACGATTTTGATGGCTACCCGAACGCAGCTACTACCAGCATGATTGCGTTCTGAACGAATGGTGAGGAACTACCAACGGCGAGCAGAGGTAGGCCATAGTGTGTCCACTATCCTCTTCTAATGGCCAACATACTGAGACACCAAGGACTCGAGAGGACAAGCGAGAGATCACAGCAAGCGAGAGACACAGCAAGAGAGAGATCACAGCAAGAGAGAGATCACAGCACGTGATAGATTGCAGCAATCGAATGATTACAGCAAGAGAGAGGTCGCAGCAACAGAGATTGCAGCAAGCACGAGATCACAACAAGCGAGGAAGTACAACAGGTGAGAGATCACAGCACGTGCCACAGCGATCTAGAGATCAGAGCAAATGAGCAATCATAGCACGCTGGGGATCACAGCAAGTGAGATAACACAACAACCGTGAGATCAACCTCTTGGAGTGGACAGCATGCAAGGTTCCTGATATTTCTCAAAGACAACCAAAAAATGGTTGGTCGCCTCTGTCAGATCTTCTGCTGTCATGCTACTTGCCCAATTCACCATCAGTTTGATCTGTGTGGATCTTAGTGACTCGCGCATTTGGCAGAGCACACTGATAAAAAGAGCCCTGGGCCAGTGCCCATATCCAGAAGCAGTCAATGGATGAAAGAAACACTTCTTCAGATACGGCACTGACTGCGTCACCAGCAGTGGTGCCCTTCTTGGTCATAGTCAAGGCCATTGACCACTGCTTTTGTGATCCCCGCAGTGAAAAAACTGCAGATTAGTGCGGCTTTGATGTGGACAAGCATACGAGGGCGCAAGAGCAGTCTCTTAAAGAACCTGCCTTTTTCTGCCCACGTAGTCCTTCTCACATAGAAGCATGCACCTCTTGAATACGTTGTTCATGCATTGTACATATGTCATGCGGTACCTCACACCTTCGGGCGTGATGTGTTATGACGGGGCAGCTTGGATGGACTACGTAGCATCTTGAAATATGAATGCTAAGTACAGGCACACAGATTTGCAGTTGTATGCAATGCATGCAAGCTCCACTAAGGTTATATCAAGTTGGTGAAATATAGCCAATACAATGGAACCAGGCTGCCTGTGAAAGCAGGTGCTCCGTATTAAGTAGAAGGCAGTAACATCATCACATGGCAGGTACCGTATGTGAGAGTTACAGAAATCGGTGGTGGGTTTATAAACCCCTGGTTCAAATCGAACGACCGTACATGCAAACGAAAAAAAATAATGAATGAATTTATAGGTGTGAGTATTAGCATGGACTAGACGCAGAGGATTCAGTTACGGTAAAAGGTAAATTTAGGTAGAGTTTTTGTCATTTCTTGAAAGGCCATATTTATATTGTGTTTGCATTCCAATTTTGTCTCTCGTACACCCACATTGCAAAGTGAAGTTATCGAGGCACCGCCACTGTTGCTGCAGCATCATCACATGGCGAAACACCTAAGTTCGTTCCCGGACAGGTTGGGGCACCGTCCCGCCACCGCTGCTGCTGCTTGCGCCGCATTCCTGAATCTTGATTCCTCCTGTCCTCGAGAGGAGATTCCCAAGGGTGGGAGCTGGGGAGGAGGGAAATCCTAGAGAGGAGAAACCTGCAGGTTCCAAATGTTACTCCATGTGTTCTCCCTTGAGTGACAAGCATCCACGAGCAGGAAATATGCATCTCGTGCACAAGCTGGCTAGATTTCTTTGTCATTAGCGAACGGATAGCGACGAGAGTCTTTGATTTTATGGCAGCCATGACTGCTGCACTGCCTGGAACACGAGCTGAAGCGAGGATTGTCTCGCCGCCCCAGAATGGTGGATCCGACGCGAAGGGAAGTAGTAGCAACACGGCTTTCGCGTGGGCCCATCGCACGGCGAAAGCGTCGAAAAGTACGACGGGAACCAAGGCAGCCAAAGGAAGAAAGGAGAGCGAGAAAAGGCGAGAAGCGGTCGATAGGAAGACTGCAGTGAAGGACCACCTGGTGGTTCTTGTTAATGGCGTGGCTGGAAGGTATGAAAGGTCCGAAATGCATGAAGGTTATAATTAAATTAGATTTCAGACGTCTCAAAACAGATTTATCGACTCGAAGTGGAGGACAGGAAGACTGCAGTGAAAGGATCACCTGGTCGTGCTCGTTAACGGCGTGACCGGAAGGTAGGGAAGTTCCAGAAGGTTCAGAAGGCACCGAAGGTCCGGACAGTCTGTAAGGTGGTTGGCCAGTGGAAGGCGGTTTTTGAGGCGCCTCAGGGAAGGGATGGAAGTTGGCCATTAAAATATCATTACGGGGAAGCGATTTGCTTGATTTGAACATGCTGTTGCGATTCGCTGCAAAGTGTTCGCTTTCTGTTTCAGTAGCTGAATGCCAGACTGTTTATTTGTTGAGTCTACTCTTATAAGTCACTTCGTCTGCTCGTGACGACTGTTGAGATTAGAATAGTCTGGAACATTGTGCATTTCGCACCCCTGCCTGGCAACTTTCGAGGCGCCTCAGACGACGTTGTGCATACTCATCAATCTCTCTACCTCGGACCCTTGCCTGGCATGGACTGACGTGTACGCAGTCCCATGAATTGGACCTACACCAAGGCACAATTGGAGGCCCATGGGGATCCCCACTTGCTCGTTCACAGTACGTTCCGGTATCTGGTCAGGCTAAATGGTGGATGGATAACTGACAACAGGTTGTGATTTGATTTCATTGAGAAGTTGTCCGTGCTGACAGCACAAATTTGTGTATCGGTTCCGAGTTGAGTGGAATGCGTTTTTCTTTGCCTTAGCATTCCCCCTTTTCAGCTGCAGAAAAATACTGCGCATCTCCTGTCTTTCCTACTGTGTAATGTCATGCGACCCCATCGCATGCCACGGCCTGTCCCATCACTGTTATGCTTCACGATTCCATTTGGTGCAATGCCGTTTCATGATGTGCTGTTTATCCATACCTACTCACCAGCCATTCATGTAACCATCCCATATTATTCTGCCATGCCACCATGGCATGTACCCATGCCACTCACTTCCGCCATTCAACCATGCCAAATGTCGATGCCGTGCCATTGAATGTCATGTCAGGCTGCGATTCGCTGAGGCGAACAGTGGACGGTGTTGATGTTGTCGGCAACCGCCTTGCAGATGAGGTCAGGCACCAAGGTAGCTTGTAGCTGCAGTGTTATTCGATTCACGACTTTCAAGCCCTTGCTGTGGCTACCCCAAGAGCTTCTAGCTTGTAGCCACAGCAAGCACGAGCTTCCACGTGCTCTGTTCTGCCACGCCTCCTTCTGCTCTCCACTCTTCCCGGCCCGGCAATGGGTGTATCTTTAGCCAGCTTTAGCCATCCGTGCATTCCTGCTCCTTACGATTCACCTCGTAGATTCTACGTTTTCCAACACCCTCACCTTCCTCTCCCCCTCTCCCCCCCCCTCCCCTCTCTCCCCCTCCCCCCTCTCCCCCCCTCCCCTCACCCCCTCCTCCATCCCCACTCCCCTTGGTCGGTCTCTCCCAGGTGCGCCAAGTGATCCAGAGGAATCCTCAGCTGCGGCGGATCTCTTTCATTGCTCACTCACTGGGCGGAGTCCTCTCACGCTACGCCATTGCTCAGATGTACCAACCCGCCTGCACTCCTGCTTCAGACGAACGTCCCTCGAATGAGCCTGCCTCACGTGAACCTACCTCATATGAGCCTGCCTCACGTGAACCTACCTCATATGAGCCTGCCTCACGTGAACCTACCTCATATGAGCCTGCCTCACGTGAACCTACCTCATATGAGCCTGCCTCACGTGAACCTACCTCATATGAGCCGTCCTTCCATAAGCCTCCCTCACATGAGCCGTCGTCACATGAACCTCCCTCACATGAGCCGTCGTCACATGAACCTCCCTCACATGAGCCGTCGTCACATGAACCTCCCTCACATGACGCCACAACAAGCAACCCTGCTGAAAGCAACCCCTTAAACAACCACTTGCATGGGCAAACAAGCCAAGAGGCTCAATCAGAGGAGGACTGTGTCTCGAGCTCCTCTTGTGCACCTCCACCGGAGGAGCACTCACCAGATACCACCTTCCCCGCATGCGCCTCCACCTCATCACTACCATCCGATGCACCATCCCTGCCGCGCCATCTCATGCCGAAATCACCAAGCGTGTCGGTTCTGGACGTTCTGCGGAAGCAGGAGGAACAGTCACAGCTGACGGATTCGGATTTCCCTCCGATGCTGTGCCTAGATGCGGAGGATGAGCAGCAGGAGGAGCAGCAGCAGAATGGGGAGAGGCAGAGCCAGGGGCAGGGGAAGGAGCATGGCTTCCCTGAAGAAGGTGGCAGGGTGGAGGAACGGGAGAGGGATTTTGCAGCAGCAGAGAGTGAAGGTGAACGAGCAACAGAGTCAACAAGCAGAAGCATTGATTTTGGGTGCAACGTGGAGGGGCTAGGGGAGGAAATGGAAGAGGAGGAAGAAGAAGGAGAAGGAGTGGAGGGGGATGAGGAGGAGGAGGAGGACGAGGAAGGGGGAGGGCGATACCAAGGGCCGCGCATAGCAGGGTTGGAGCCGATGAACTTTGTCACGCTCGCTTCACCTCACCTAGGCTCTCGTGGGAAAGGGCATGTAAGAGAATCGGACTTTGCTATTATGTTTCCGTATGTCAAGGCATTAGGTAGCTGGTTTTAGGCTTGAGAATAGGAATGTGGAAGGCTGTGTTTGGGAGAGACGGGACATGGTTGCCAGAATGTACATGGCAGGATCGATTGAATAGGCTGGTTTGTTCCAGGGGAGCTGCATGCCATGGGTGGGATTGAAAACATAAGCTGGTAAAAGTTTGTTTGTTTGTTTTTGTTTGTTTTATTTTTTTTAGAGTGCTTTCGTCGTGCACGCCCCTCTCTTCATCTTTACCCCCCCCTCACCCACCTCCACCCCCCCCCCCCCCCCCTCTCCACCTGTTCTAACCCCTCGTCTCATCCTCCCTTCTGCCCATCCACCCACCCATCCACCCATCCCCCCATCATCTCGCACCCAGCTGCCCTTTCTGCTCAAGGTGAGCCTCTTCGAGAAGGCGTCGGTCCCGCTCGCACCTCTCTTCCTCGGCCGCTCCGCCCACCACCTCTTCCTCACTGACGTGGACCCTCCAGTAGAAACAACCGATGCCGCCCCTTCAATCGACGTTGGCACCGCTGATGCCAACCCTCACATTGACTCCACTGGCACCGTTGAACCACAGATTGAACCGGTAGGTGTAGTCAGCACTCGGACTGACACCACCGGGGCTGATCGTCAACCAGGCACGGCTGATGTTGATGCTCTGGGTGGTGATTCTGTGGCTGGCAAAAATCAAGCAGACGGTGCGTATGGTAACCCTTCTACGGGTTGTGTCGACCTTTTGAATGTCGCGTCTGGTGCCGAACCCCCTCTCGATATCGACACAACTCTCTCCTCCGTTGACACTGGTCGTCCCCTTGCTGATCATTTTGCTAAGCCAGTTGCTGAAGCTCTTGCTGCGGGTGCTGAGGCCCATTTGGGCCATTCGGAAACCAGAAGCAGCGTGAAGGGAGCAGCTGGGAAGCAGCAGCAGGCAAGTGCGAAAGAGCAGCAACGGCAACAACAGCAGCATAAGCACCAGCAGGAGAAGCAGCAGCAGCATGGGATGGTGCGGCTGCATCGGCTGGGAAGCAGCCTGATTGACGTGACAAGGGTGGCAGCAGCAGAAGGCCGACTAGAGGAGACAACAGGGAAAGGGGTCGGGAGTCACAAGGTGAAACACCAGCTGCCTCTGCTGCTTCGCATGACTACGGACAACGAGGAAGGCCCCTTCCTGTACGTCAGCCTGTCAGTTCGTTTGCGCTTTCAAGAAGACCTGTCTTGTTCTTTTTTTTTCTCAACAAATGTGGCAGACGTTATGTATTTGTTGCTCAACCCATTCACGTAGGGAATAGCTTTCCATCCAGGTGTGATCGCTTGACCCATAAGGTAATGCTAATGCCATTAATAAAAACTCGGCTTCTTCCCGGTTCCCCTCTCACACCTGCAGGGCCAGTAATCTTTGTGTTTCCCAACCTTCATCCACCTTGGAAGGATCCCTCGTATACCTCATCTTGGTAACCATTGGCTCAACTACTACCTCATCTTGTATTTACTGAAGCAGATGTCAAGGTGACCGTGAGAATGTTCCTTCGCCTTCCCTATTTTGTAATACCTTGTGCTCTTGAATCCCACCCCCACCCCCCTCCCCCCTAACAGGTCTGCACTCGCTGCATTCAAGTACAGAGCTGCATACGCCAATGTCTTAGGAGATCGTAAGCACCCACTGCATTCCTCTGGTTGCGTCGGGTCCTCCGCTGTCACTTTCCTGTCCCTCCCCTTGCATGCATTCCCTCATGCAGAAATGGTTGGGTGGCGGACAGCCTCGATCCGTCACCAGTGGGAGATGCCATCGGTGGGTTCATCTCTCCTTTTTTCTCTTGCTGCCTTAGCCTGTCTGTTGAGTTGACTCATAAGCCGTCAGTGGGTTCTTCTCCCCTTCTCTATAATTCCACGGTTTTGTGATTGCGCTCTCCACAAATCAATCTCATTGATTGTGATTGCGCTCTCCACAAATCAATCTCATTGATTGTGATTGCGCTCTCCTCAAATTAATCTCATTGATTGTGATTGCGCTCTCCTCAAATTAATCTCATTGATTGTGATTGCGCTCTCCACAAATCAATCTCATTGATTGTGATTGCGCTCTCCACAAATCAATCTCATTGATTGTGATTGCGCTCTCCACAAATTAATCTCATTGATTGTGATTGCGCTCTCCACAAATTAATCTCATTGATTGTGATTGCGCTCTCCACAAATCAATCTCATTGATTGTGATTGCGCTCTCCACAAATCAATCTCATTGATTGTGATTGCGCTCTCCACAAATCAATCTCATTGATTGTGATTGCGCTCTCCACAAATCAATCTCATTGATTGTGATTGCGCTCTCCACAAATCAATCTCATTGATTGTGATTGCGCTCTCCACAAATTAATCTCATTGATTGTGATTGCGCTCTCCACAAATCAATCTCATTGATTGTGATTGCGCTCTCCACAAATCAATCTCATTGATTGTGATTGCGCTCTCCACAAATTAATCTCATTGATTGTGATTGCGCTCTCCACAAATCAATCTCATTGATTGTGATTGCGCTCTCCACAAATTAATCTCATTGGTTGTGATTGCGCTCTCCACAAATCAATCTCATTGATTGTGATTGCGCTCTCCACAAATCAATCTCATTCCTGTGTTTTAGCTCCAGCCACCTGCTCTTCCCCGGGCATTCCACCTCCCCTATACCCAGCCTCTTTTTCCTAGAATCTTCGTCTCCATTTGAGACCTCTGGAACCCCTTGTGTCTTGCCACCTGCATAACACCTCCTTCTTGCCATTCTGCAAACCCTCAGAGCCCCAGTTTCTTTCAATTCTCCCTTCTTCCCCGTTTCTCTGCCCGTCCACCACACCCATCAGCCAGACGAACTGCACGAGCTGCCAGACTATCGCTTCATCGTGAGAGTACAGCCCATGCAGTGCCAATCAAAGATCCCAGTGCAACCCATGCGATGCGAATCGGAGGGTACCACTGTGCAGCCCGTGCCATGCCAGCCAGAGCCAAGGGCCCCAGGATGTATTGACACAGGTGCAGGGGGGGAGGAGAAAGGATGCTTTGCTGACACATCGTCTCAGCACTTGGCTGCGTGTGATGCTTCTTTGCATGCCAGTGCTGCTGCTGCCTCTGTTGCTGATTTTGCACAAACGGACACGACAGGTGCTTTAGCAGCTGAAGCTTCTGATTTCATGGCAGGGAATGCCACGGGTAGTGTTTCAGGTGGCCCCTCAGGTGGTGCTTCAGGTGGTCCGTCAGGTGGATCTGCAGCCGGCCCTCCAGAAACAAAAGAACACGCTAATTTCTTTGCGCGCCTGAAGGGAAGGTGGAAAATGGGGGGACGAACAGCATCAAGTGGCGGCTTTGGCCTGAACTTTGGACTCGGTTCTCCACAGCAGCAGTTCCTGCCATGCCAGCAGCAGCCTCTGAAGCTGAAAGACAAGGGGCATACCGAGCAGGGTGAGGGAGGAGAGCAGGCGTTTGGGAACCATAAGAACTCACCTGACGATCCACCTGAGGGTTCACCTGAGGAGGGTGAGGGAGAAGTGTTACAGCTGGTGCGGAGCATGAGTGAGGGTATGGTTTCCAGGGGCGCGAGTGGCAGGGGCAGCGGTGGTGGTGGCAGTGGCGGCAGCAGTGAGGAGGGGAGTTGCAAAGGCAAAAACAGAACAGGGCAGAGGGCGACTAAGAATGACGAGGGGCATGGGAGTGATGAGGGCTGGCGTGGGGACGAGACTAAGGCGAGGAGAGCAGCGATTGGTGGTCCTACTGCTGCAGGTGGTGCTGGTGGTGCTGGTGCTGGTGCTGGTGGTGCTACCATGCTGCCACGTGCTGCGGGGATAGCGCCAAAGAAGCATAGCATTCACATGCAGTGGGAGGGTGGGTTTCCTCTCCACATCTTTTTTTTTGTCGACACAAGAATCGCATCTTCACACCTCCACTAGTATGACATGCTCAGCAACCTACCATCTGTGCCTCTGTGTTGCTCTGCTGCTCTGGTTGTTGAAACACCCTCTACCTGAGTATCCTCTAGCATATGAGTGCACTGTACCGTCATGCCATCATGCCGTCATGCCACCATGCTATCATGCCATTATGCCATAATGCCATCATGCTATCATGCCATTATGCCATAATGCCATCATGCTATCATGCCATTATGCCATAGTGCTATCATGCCATCTTGCCATCATGCCATTATGTCATCATGCCATCATGCCGTCTTGCCATTGTGCATCGGCTCAGTCGCATCCCATGAGCTCACGTAAGTGCTGTCAGCTTTCCTGCTCCGAGCATCCATCACCTACACGTCCCTGCTCTCCCGCGGCTTGGCCTCAGATGCAATGGTGGGCAATGTCAACCGTGTCCCATGGGCGCAATGTTTTAAGCCGTGTTTTGAGTCGACTCAAAACACCGAGCATCCATCACCTACACATCCACCTCTCCCTGTTGTACATCACCTCAGATGCCATGCTGGACAATGTCAACCGTGTCCCATGGGCGCAATGTTTTCAGAGGTAAATCATGCCCCCTTTTGCATACAACTCATGCGCCCCTCTCATGCCCCTCATGCCCCTCATGCCCCTCATGCCCCTCATGCCCCTCCTGCCCCTCCTGCCCCACAGACACGATGGTGGAGAATCTCAACCGTGTCCCATGGGCTCGCATCGATGTCAACTTTGCATCGTCACCACTTGCCTTCCTCGCTCACATCCTCATTCAGGTATTGCCCTTCCCCGCTCTCAGCATTCACATCCGACTGTTTCTCTTTGTGTGGGAGAATAGATATTGGAGTTGTTTGTCTGCCCCACGGGATGAGTTTTGGTTTTCCGTCTCAGTCCATTCCGATTGCGCTCTGTTTGCATTATGCTCGCATTCAGCTTCCATTTGTCTGCCCATAGTGAGCATCGCTCAAGGTCAGGAGGCGAGTGCAGTACAGCATGCGATGTGACGGCAAGCCGATGTTCGGCCACCGTCAACCTCGTTACCCTTCCACTAATGTTTTCCAGGTGAACATCCCGACACTCAAGGCGCATGGAGCCAGTGTGATACAGCATGTGATCGACAACTTTGTGGTGTAGCACCACACTTCATCGCAGCATCAGCAACGCTAACCGCACGACCAACGCCGCACAGCACGCCATCCCTCCGTCCCGTTCCAACACCCTACCCGTTGCGGTAGGAATTATGTACCGTAGCTGCACACCATTTCTCCAACGCACCGAGAGAGGCACCCGGCTGGCAACTCACCAGCCAGGCATGGGCGATGTGAGTGGACTCAATTATATATAATTTCGGATTGTCGGGCTTCTTGTGCATGTGTGTGATGCGTCATTTTTTGAATGCCAGTATCACCATGCCATATCTGTTTGGTGCTACTAAAGCGCTGGGAAGTCAGCTAGCATTCAGCATGGCTGAAGAGTGTGTTATGAGCAGAGTTTAGAAGCCTGGATCAGGGTTTATTACATAGGGCGATTGATTGTCCAATATTGACTACTGTCACAGCACTGAAACTATCCCGCATTATTGCATCAAAAACTTGGAAAAACTACTGTATGCTAAATGCGCTAAGAGACAATCCAGATGAAGATTGACTGCCCTATGTCACACGCCCTAGGTTGTTATTTACTCATGTTAGGAACAAGCTTATGAACAAAGCATGTTTTACAAGTGGCAGATTTACAAAAAAGGCTGACATCACAATGTACGGCTCATGTTGACTTTGGGAGGAATAGTAGATGCCAAGCAGTGGCTTGTTCTGAGGGTTCTAGTCTTGGGAGGAGCGGAAGACACCAAAGGCAGTCAGTGCACCCGTTGCAGCCACAATCACCAGCGCCAGGGCCGGAAGAGGCGTGGGCACTCCAATCAGCTGGGAGGGCGGATGGGGAAGGAGGATGGAGAGAGGTGAAAAGGAGAGCAGAAGACACCAACAGCAGTGAATGCCCCCGTGGCAGCCACCAGTACCAGCGCCAGGGCAGGCAGCGGCGTGGGCACTCCAATCGAAAGGTGAAGTGGGAGAGTTATGAATGGAACAGAGAGGTAGAGAGGGAAGGGGATGGATACCAGAAAGGGAAGTGATGAGAGTAGGGGAGATGATGAAAGCGGCACATACGAGAACTGTGGTGTAGAGAAAATAACTCATGACCGAGCATGTGATTTTGATATCTACATATCCCACATGCCTCTTTGCAGCGCTTCCATTCAAACGCAGGAACTCTTACTGTATCTTTGAGCCCGTTCTTTCAACTCTTAGGACTCAGATGCACTGCTTGTCTGTGCCACCCACATCTCCGCCACGATCAAAGTGTTCATCCATTTATTTTCACACCTCAAAGCTCTCGATCAATCTTCACTCATTTCAAGCAACCTCTCACTCATCTTGAGTAGCCCTTCACCTCGTTTTGAGACGTCTCATCTTGAGTAGCCCTTCACCTCGTTTTGAGACGTCTCATCTTGAGTAGCCCTTCACCTCGTTTTGAGACGTCTCATCTTGAGTAGCCCTTCACCTCGTTTTGAGACGTCTCATCTTGAGTAGCCCTTCACCTCGTTTTGAGACGTCTCATCTTGAGTAGCCCTTCACCTCGTTTTGAGACGTCTCATCTTGAGTAGCCCTTCACCTCGTTTTGAGACGTCTCATCTTGAGTAGCCCTTCACCTCGTTTTGAGACGTCTCATCTTGAGTAGCCCTTCACCTCGTTTTGAGACGTCTCATCTTGAGTAGCCCTTCACCTCGTTTTGAGACGTCTCATCTTGAGTAGCCCTTCACCTCGTTTTGAGACGTCTCATCTTGAGTAGCCCTTCACCTCGTTTTGAGACGTCTCATCTTGAGTAGCCCTTCACCTCGTTTTGAGACGTCTCATCTTGAGTAGCCCTTCACCTCGTTTTGAGACGTCTCATCTTGAGTAGCCCTTTACCTCGAGCAAGCCCCTCACGCGCTCACCTCGAGCAGCCCCTTGCCAGTGGCCACCTCCATCACCAGAGCCCCCACGAAGCCCATCATCGCCAGCCGCCCAACCCAGATGTCCACTCCGCCTCCGCCGCCGCCGGACCCGCCATCAGACGACATGGCGCGCACCGCCACGCCTCCCCTGCGGCTCGCGCCGAGGCTGCTGGCTCGGGAGGCCGAGACTCGCGCGCAGGCTTGGCGGAAGGCGGAGGACTGGGAGAGGGAGGACAAGCTCCTGAGCGGGAGAGCTGGAGGTAATGCGATGGTGGAGGGTGGGAGGTGGTAAAGGGTCGGCGGAAGATGATTTGGAAAAGGGCGCGGGAAGGAAGAAGTGGAGGGGAGGCGGGGAAGGATGCACTACTATGACACCATTACAACAAGGGCTCGTTAAGTGGTAAACAGATGCTAGCTATTATGTTTGAGAGTCGAATCAAAGCATGGGTTGTTGAAGAGGAAGACAAGTGCTAGCTGTTATAAAGACGAGAAAAGGAAGTTGAGACACAGCGATGCAGACACGGATTGCATCACAAACGTGATCATACAACATGCAGACGGTAATCTTTCAGGCTTCCACTCGTGAACGTGCTTACCTGGTACTGCTGATCGCGCTACTTGTGAAGTGGTCCCCGCCTGCACAGGAACCAGCGTAGCAGATAAAAAATGCTTGAGTTTCCTAAATTTGCTGAGTTTCCTTGACGACCTTGAGTATTGGGCGTGCGATAACTGCCGCAGTCGTGCGGCACACGGGAAACACGAAAATTCTGACATTGGGAGGAGGAAGGTATGGCGAACGGACCTTGTAAGATAGGCAAGGAGACGCCACGGAGGCAGCTGTGTGAAGGGCGGTAGCAGCCATTTTAGCGAGTATGCGTTGGGAGCTAAGGCTGCCTGGACAGAGTCGTGCTGTGCTTGCAGGAATGACGGACGGAATGGAGGTAAGGGAGAATGAGGCAGCCTGAACTGAATGGCAGTGAGGGGAGAATTTCTAGGACGACGGGTCACTGGATGCGTAGGGGATGCAGGCAGGTATGCGGGACCTCGAGATTGGCTGACTTCAGGTCCAGCTGTGGAGAGTATGGAGCACAGAGAAAAAGGTTTTCAAGGATAGGAAAAGGAGGACAAATGTTATTTTCAAAGGTTTTCTCCTCCCACAGAAAAAAAAAAAACAAAATCTAGGCCTGACCACGGCCTTGGGCAGTGGGTTGTGGAAGTGCCTGCAGATGCTTCATTCGGAGTAGGTGTTCCAGCGTGGCACAACAGCTGGATGCTTCTAAAGCTGCCACGAAGCTGGCTGTGATTCGACCTGAGCCTGTAACGAGCTCTCTCGTTTCAGAAGAACCCCTTTTTGGTGTCAATTGTGTGAATCTGGAGCGATCGCAGAAACATGTAGAACTGTTGAGCCTACTTTTGTTCGTGTGCGAACGAGGTGTAGCATGTAAACCAAACGGTAAATCTCGTCATCCCATTGTCGGCTCTAGCCGATTCCAACCAATCGCGCCATTCCCCGCCCTTCCTGGTCGTCATGTCCTTTGGGTACCAATCTCTATCCACCATCCCTCCTGTTGGCTGTCTTGAAGGTGTGTTTCGCTTCCCTCGATTTCTCCCTCGATTTTTCCAACTGTGTCAGAGGCTGCTGTCAGATCAGCCTGGGAGACATACAGAACCATGCCTGCCTCGGATATATATTGCTTGCAGTTGGAAGTCATGCTCGGAAACAGCATGACAAGGGCTGCCTGGAACCGCTGCTTCAACACATGCTTTTGTGCAGGCATTGATTTAAACACTAGAAGTCGCACTATGCTTGTAGCGCTTCGATATAAAATTTGGCGTTTCTGTTATTAGCTGCTTATCCACACCGATTTTCATAGCGTAGCTTGTTCACGTTCACTGGGACTTTCCTTCTTGTCGGTCGTAGGAGTTTAGTGAAAACGGTATCGCGCCAACCCCCCTGCCTTATCAGACTAAATAGTAGCACGCTGCTCGAAATTGTAGTGTCAGCATTGCGACTCTTTGGCATCCACCGCTTTGATAAATTGATCTCAATAAAACGGTCACTTAGCAGCCATGGCGGAAGATCAGTGGTTCCCTTGTGCCTCACTGTCAGACATCGGTCGGCCGTCGTCAGACCCGCCATCAGCGGCGTCAAGCACGGGCGCTCCTCCTCCGCAAACCGGCCGAATGTCGGCCGGTACTCGCCGGACCGTCAAAGGTGCTGGCTCTGGCACTCCGTCAAAAGGAGCGTCAGGCGGCATGACGGCCGGGAAGAAGCGAATGGCCGCTGTAACGGAAAAGGCGGTCGGGCTGAAGGATCGATTACGGGTGAGTCCCAAGGCGTCTGAAGAAGGAGCACCTTACGTGAGCAGCTTGTGCTGCGGAGCTCATGGAGTTTATGCGAGTTTTTGGGAGCGTATGGGGTACAATTAGAGCTTATGAAAGCTTGTGCGGGCTTTTTATTGTGCTCCGCGTAGTTCCGTGTGGTTGTAGCCTGCTCTCCGCGCTCCGCAAGCAGTGGAACGTCTCAGCCAGTTCTTCACACGCGAGCAATGCAACGTTCTCTCTCCATCGGAATGTGCTGCAGCAAACCTGCGCGTATCTCTCTGCACACCTCTCTCTCCCCTTTACAGACCACCCATCCCTTTCTCCCTCACTTTCCCGCCACTCCCATCACTCTCCGTCACTCGCCATCACTCCCCTGCCACTCCCCGTCACTCCCCCGCCACTCGCCACTCCCCGTCGCTCCTCGTAACTCCCCGTCACTCCTCGTCACTCCCTGTCACTCCTTGTCACTCCCCGTTACTCCTCGTCAATCCCCGTACTCGTCACTCCCGGTCACTCCTCGTGACTACCCTGTGTCGTTCAAGATGGGTGCGCCGAATGCGTGTGATCTGCAGGAACCCGCCGCTGACAGGATCGCTCCCCATCACCTCATATCCAACCCTCCTGTTCCTCGTTTCCCGCCCCCTCCTTCCCCCCATTCCCCTTCTCGAAACTGCCCAAGAGAAGGGAATTTGAATTGGTTTAGAGGCCACTTCTTTCATGCCCTACCCTCCGCCCTCCCCTCAATCTCTCCAACACCCCACCCCCCCTTCTTCTCCCCCCACTCCCTTCCCCTCTTCCCCCCCCCTTACGGCGCAACGTGCGCGGACAGCAAGCGAGGGAGGAGGTGCTGGAGCTGCGGCAGGACGCTTGCGATCTGCAGGAGTATGCCTCCAACCCTACCGCCCTCCCCTCAACCTCGTCCAAACCCAACCCCCCTACCCCCCACACGTCCCTTCCCCCCACCAGCAAGCGAGGGAGGAGGTGTTGGAGCTGAGGCAGGACGCGTGTGACCTGCAGGAGTATGCCTCCGACCATACCACCCCCCTCAACCTCTCTTAAACTCCTCTTTCCTCCCCTTTTTCCCTCTCCCTCCCTCCCCCCAGCAAGCGAGGGAGGAGGTGCTGGAGCTACGACAGGACGCGTGTGACCTGCAGGAGTATGCCTCTGCCAAGCTGATGCGCGCGCAGACCTACCTGCAGCTGCTCGCCAAGAAGGCCCACGGACTCGGTACGTGCCTTGATGGCTTGGACTCCTCACTGAAGCTGACGCCACTACCTGCTACCCTTGACTCGGAGGACGTCCCTCAACCATGTTCACTGCCTGTTTGTCCGTTGATGTGTGCATGCATGCAGACCAGGTGGCGCAGGAGGCGGAGTCCAAGGTGGCACCTCTCAAGAAGGAGCGTCGGCGACTCTTCAACAGCCTCATCCAGTCCAAAGGTGAACCTCCCACACCCAATCCCTTTCTAAAGATGCAACCTTTTCCTTCCCAAATATGCTACCGTTTCCTTCTCTAGAAAGCTCTTTAACAGTCTCATGCAGTCCAGACGTGTTTCCCAACCCACCTACCTGAGGGTCTTTTCTCCACCTCCCACGTGGTGACACTGTGTGGCGTGTGGAGTGCGTCACCTTTCTGTCAATCCATGTGCCATCCTGCATCCCTCTCCTCGCGCTCTTCCCGTCACAGTTTCCTCTCCTTTCCTCTCCTCCCCTCGCCTACCCACCCACCAGGCAACATACGAGTGGTGTGTCGGGTGCGCCCGGCATTCGAGCACGAGGACTCGCTCGCACTCTCCTTCCCAGACGAAACCACCATCCGCATCAACCCCTCCGCCCCTGCCACTGCTGGCACTGGTGCGGCCGGTGCGGCTGGCGCTGGCGGTGCGGGCAGTGCAGGGTCTCCTGGGTCCTTGGGTGGTGGTGGTGGGGGTGGCAGCAGCGGGCTGGCAAAGAGGGACTACGAGCTGGATCACATATATGGGCCGCATGTGGGGCAAGGTGAGCCAGCCGGATTGAACCGCACTGAATCGCTCTGCAATGTGATGTGAGCGAAGGGTTGTGCAGGCAATCTATTCCTGGACGCCGTACAACCCATGGTGCAGGGCACGCTGTGATGGACGGCTTCAACGCCTCGTCACCGCACTGAGCCGCTCTGTACCTCCACGTTGTTGCTGTGCAGGCGATCTATTCGTGGACGCAGTGCAGCCCATGGTGCAGGCTGTGATGGACGGCTTTAACGCCTCCATCATTGCCTATGGGCAGAGCGGCTCGGGGAAGTCACACACCATGGTACGAGCATTGGGCTGGTGGGAGTCTTTCGAAGGAAGCCTGACACCATGGTATGGGCATTAGGCTGGTAGGATGCATGGGAATTAGATAGTGTGAGGCTATGGTGAACCATATGGTTATAGGCCTTGCTCTGCGCAGTGTGCCCCACAAACAACCCCTCACCTTCCATCCCCCTTCCCCTCCCCCTTGGCATTCCAGGAGGGCCGGTCCCACGACAGGGGCGTCTTCTACCGAGCGTTTGATGAGATCTATGACCTCGCACTCTCGGGACTAATCCCCACACGACTCCTTCCTCCACCCCCCGCTTCCCTCCCCCCCTCTTGCGCCATTACAGGAGGGCCCATCTCACGATCGTGGCGTCTTCTACCGAGCGTTTGATGAGATTTACGATCTTGCCAACTCAACATACGCCCCCGCTGACAGCTACACCTTCCATGTCAGCGTGCTCGAAATGTTCAACGAGCAGGTGAGGAGGTGTGGAGGGGAGGAGAGGGTGGGGTTGGAGGGTTCAGAACAGGTGAGGGTGGTGGTTTGGTGGAGGGGGCGGCGATGAGACGAGGGAGCTGTGAGGCAGGTAGTAGAGAAGTCTATGACCTCGTGTACTCAACAACATACATACGCCCCTGCTGACAGCTACTCCTTCCACGTCAGCATGCTCGAGATCTACAACGAGCAGGTGTGGTGGCGGGGGTGGGGAGATGGAGGGTGGTTGCGTGGGGGTTCTGGGGGAACAGGTGACTCTTGAGTCGACTCAAAAAACATATGCCGCTGCTTCCAGCTACTCCGCCCATGTCAGCGTGCTCGAGATGTTGAACGGGCAGGTGTGTGCTGGGGGCCGGGGAGGGGTTGGAGGGTGGGTGCGTGGGGAGTCAGCGGGAGAAATGAGGGAGAGGTGGAGGATTGGGAGAGGGGAGGTGGGAGGGTGGGTGGGTGGGTGCAGATGTGCGATGAGAAGGTGAGAAGGGGAGGACATTTCTGAGTGTTCTCAAGGTATTTTTGAGAATGTTTTGAGAATGTTTTGAGAATTGTCAAGAATATCCTGGGGCTCAGGGGGAACAGGGGCGGAGGGCGGTACAGTTGTGCAGTGAGCAGGTGAGGAGGGGTGGAGGTGGGTTGGTTGAGTGGGGCGAAGAGAGGCAGGTAGTTGAGATGTGAAACGAGCAGAGGAGTGGGTGAGCTGGGTTTAGGGGCTGAGGGAACTGTTGATGCGGGAAAGTAGAGGAAGGGGACGGGCAACAGAGTGGGGAGGGTTGCCTTTCATCGGTTCATCTCACCTCCGTTTTCTCCCGTTTCTCCCGTTTCTCCCGTTTCTCCCGTTTCTCCCGTTTCTCCCGTTTCTCCCGTTTCTCCCGTTTCTCCCGTGTCTCCCGTGTCTCCCGTGTCTCCCGTGTCTCCCGTGTCTCCCGTGTCTCCCGTGTCTCCCATGTCTCCCGTGGTCCGTGCCACAGCTGAGCGACCTGGTGGGGAACCCCCTGCTGGCCGGCCATGGGTCCTTGGGGAAGGTCCAACTCGTGCATGGGGGGGCGGGAGGAGGCGGCGGAGCAGCAGCAGGTGGAGGAGGAGCAGGAGGAGGTGTGGGGGGATGGGGGGAGGTGGAGGTGCGGGGAGTGAGGGAGGAGGCGGTGAGCAACCCGATGGAGTATGCCAAGGTGGTCAAGACGGCTCTGCAGCACCGCGCGGCGGGGGGAGGTGCATCTGGGGGAGGTGGGCTTGTTGGCGACAGCAAGGAGCGCAACAAGCTCTCCCACTTGTGAGTTTCTTCTCTCGTCTGTTCTTGTGTTCTCTACGCTCCTCTTGCTGTGCTTATTGACTCTTTAGCCCCTCCCTACCCTCTTTCTCCCTCCCTCCCCTTCCCCTTCTCCCCGTCCAGCTCCCCCTTGACGACCCGGTGGCTGGCGAGCAGCCAAACAACAGAGGCACTCTATGGTCCTTCATCTTTTCCATGACCCTCATTCCATCGCCTCGCTGCCCCCTTGCTTTCCCTAACCCCAGGGTGGTGATAGTGCGCGTGCACCATGACGACCCGGTGACAGGGGAGCAGCAGAGCAGCAAGCTGCGAAAGGCAGAACCCCCTCCTCCCTTCCCCCCCTCACACCTCCCGACTCCTTCTCTCCCCTGTAACTGCATGGCAGGATGGTGATAGTGCGAGTGCATCACGACGACCCAGTGTCGGGAGAGCAGCAGGTCAGCTAGCTGCTGCTGGCAACTAACTACCCCATGACCCCCCATGCTCCACCACCACCTTCTGTTACCTCTTTCTGAAGGGTTGAGCAAAGAAGCGAACACCTGTTCGGTTCGCCTCAAACACGTTCGAGGCGAACCGAACAGGTTTTTTTTTTAGCTTAAAGTGTTCGTGACAAACGTGAACGTGTTCGGGCCGCTGCTGCAGGCCGCCCCGCGTCGAACACGGACGTGTTTGAGGTTCGCCCGAACACGCCTTCACAGGCGAACACTGAACACCCTTTTTTAGGAAAGCCGTTCGGCGAACCGAGCACTGTTCGGTTCGCCGAACGGCCATGTTCGTGCCAGGGTGAACATGTTCGTGCCAGGGTGAACATGTTCGTGCCAGGGTGAACATGTTCGTGCCAGGGTGAACATGTTCGTGCCAGGGTGAACATGTTCGTGCCAGGGTGAACATGTTCGTGCCAGGGTGAACATGTTCGTGCCAGGGTGAACATGTTCGTGCCAGGGTGAACATGTTCGTGCCAGGGTGAACATGTTCGTGCCAGGGTGAACATGTTCGTGCCAGGGTGAACATGTTCGTGCCAGGGTGAACATGTTCGTGCCAGGGTGAACATGTTCGTGCCAGGGTGAACATGTTCGTGCCAGGGTGAACATGTTCGTGCCAGGGTGAACATGTTCGTGCCAGGGCGAACATGTTCGTGCCAGGGCGAACATGTTCGTGCCAGGGTGAACATGTTCGTGCCAGGGTGAACATGTTCGTGCCAGGGTGAACATGTTCGTGCCAGGGTGAACATGTTCGTGCCAGGGTGAACATGTTCGTGCCAGGGTGAACATGTTCGTGCCAGGGCGAACATGTTCGTGCCAGGGTGAACATGTTCGTGCCAGGGTGAACATGTTCGTGCCAGGGTGAACATGTTCGTGCCAGGGTGAACATGTTCGTGCCAGGGTGAACATGTTCGTGCCAGGGTGAACATGTTCGTGCCAGGGTGAACATGTTCGTGCCAGGGTGAACATGTTCGTGCCAGGGTGAACATGTTCGTGCCAGGGTGAACATGTTCGTGCCAGGGCGAACATGTTCGTGCCAGGGTGAACATGTTCGTGCCAGGGTGAACATGTTCGTGCCAGGGTGAACATGTTCGTGCCAGGGTGAACATGTTCGTGCCAGGGTGAACATGTTCGTGCCAGGGTGAACATGTTCGTGCCAGGGCGAACATGTTCGTTTGCCCTTTGGTCATGCCTCCCAGGGTGGTGATAGTGAGAGTGCATCACGACGACCCGGTGACAGGAGAGCAGCAGGACAGCAAGCTGCTGCTGGCAGAACCCCCCTCTCACCCTTCCGCTCGCCTCCCCTCTCTGTGACTGCACACCAGGGTGGTGATAGTGCGAGTGCATCACGACGACCCAGTGACGGGAGAGCAGCAGGACAGCAAGCTGCTTCTGGCGGATCTCGCCTCCAGCGAGCGCCTCCTCGCCTCCTCCTCCGCCTCGGGGGACAGGCTCACTGCCTCGCTGCACGTGCAAAAGTCCTTCTCAGCGTAAGATGCTGTTACTGGGGTGGGGCGTAGAGTTCTCTCAGGTATGTTCTGTGCTTTCCAAGGCTCCTCCTCCGCCTCAGGGGACGGGCTCAACCCCTCGCTGCACGCGCAAAAGTCCTTCTCAGCGTACGGTGCTGTTGGTGGGATGTGAAGTCCTTTTTCATTGGGGTCCAAAACGGATGTCGTCTGTTGTTCACTTCACTTGACAGATGTCTGCTTTGGAGGTCAGCCTCACCTCACCGCCTCGCTGCACGTGTACAAGTGATTCTCCGCTTGTTACGCCACGTGTACAAGTGATTCTCCGCTTGTTACGCCACGTGTACAAGTGATTCTCCGCTTGTTACGCCACGTGTACAAGTGATTCTCCGCTTGTTACGCCACGTGTACAAGTGATTCTCCGCTTGTTACGCCACGTGTACAAGTGATTCTCCGCTTGTTACGCCACGTGTACAAGTGATTCTCCGCTTGTTACGCCACATGTACAAGTGATTTTCCGCTTGTTACGCCACGTGTACAAGTGATTCTCCGCTTGTTACGCCACATGTACAAGTGATTTTCCGCTTGTTACGCCACGTGTACTAGTGATTCTCCGCTTGTTACGCCACGTGTCCGCTTGCTCCCGGTTCAAAATGATGTGCAAACTGGTACGATTTCTTTTTCCGGACTGCTTCTCTCCCCTCCCTTTCTGTCCGCCATCCCTGCAGGCTAGGCGACTGTCTGTCTGCTCTCACGGGGAAGCACCCCACCGTGCCCTATGGCAACTCCAAGCTCACCACTCTGCTCTCCGACTGCCTTGGTGCGTGGGGAGCTGCCTTGGTGCGTGGGGAGCTGCCTTGGTGCGTGGGGAGCTGCCTTGGTGTGTTGGGCTCTGACTTGGGTGTGTTGGGCTCTGACTTGGGTGTGTTGGGCTCTGACTTGGGTGTGTGAGGTGGGGCCGTCATAATGCGTAACCCTGTACTCGTTATGAGAACTTTGATACAAGTCAAAAACACCCAACATTGCCCTACCGCAGCTCCAAGCTCGCCCCTGCCTCAGTACGCCCTTTAAGCCAGCAGATACACAACCATACTCTCCATACCCATCCACAACCCCCATACCCATTGTTCCTAAGAAACACCGAGTCTCTCAGTGAAGGTGGCTCAGCACAAGGTCACAGCTCTTTGCCTAGTGTCTCTCGCAAACTCCTTGCTTCTCCTTCCCCGGCCAACTGCTCTCCTTTAAAGCCTCTCCTTCGCTCTCCCTCGCCCCACAAGACGGCGAGGCCAAGACAGTGGTGGTGGTGACGAGCAGCCCATCAGTGCTGGTGGCTGAGAACCAGGTCACAGCACCTTGCATCGTTTCGCTCACTAACTCTCTTTCGCGCCCCCCCCCCCTGTATCCACGGCCACCAGGCGGTGAGGTCAAGATGGTGGTGGTGGTGACGTGCAGCCCGTCAGTGAGGGACGTGGCTGAGGCAGTGCCTATGCCTTCCCGCGTCCCCAATCTCCCATCGGTGCTGGATGCTTGGATTCAGTGCCTATGCCTGTCCTCTTTCGTTTTTTTTATTATCTTGCATTCCCTTGCCCCACCAGGTGGTGAGGCTAAGATGGTGGTGGTGGTGACGTGCAGCCCGTCGGTGAGGGACGTGGCAGAGTCGGTGCCTATGCCTGCCCTCCTCCTTACTTTTCCCCTTCCTCTTTCTCCTGGTCCCTCCCCCGCCACCAGGAGGCGAGGCTAAGACGGTGGTGGTGGTGACGTGCAGCCCGTCGGTGAGGGACGTGGCAGAGTCGGTGCCTATGCCTGCCCTCCTCCTTACTTTTCCCCTTCCTCTTTCTCCTGGTCCCTCCCCCGCCACCAGGAGGCGAGGCTAAGACGGTGGTGGTGGTGACATGCAGCCCGTCGGTGAGGGACGTGGCAGAGTCGGCTCTCTCGCTGGCCTTTGCCGCTCGCTCGCGCAACTCCGAGCTCAGCCTGGGCACGCGGGATACCATCAAGAAGTGGCGCGACATGGTGTGTGAGGCTTGAGGTGTTAGAATTGTATGTTCTAGCATGCTAACACTTGTGACTGTACACCAATTTTGGTGTACAGTTGCGTTGGGACTACACCCAACTTTGGGTGTAGTCTTGCATGGTGGGGTGCCAATCCAACCCAATTGTGGTGGAGCCCCCAAATGCAACCCACTTGACCTTAGGTTGCCTCACTTCCCAAAGTGAGGCCAACCCAACCTATGGTCAACCCAACCTTTCTCCTTCAACCTTCTCTTCCTTGTATAACCTTGTGCTTTCTTGAGCTAATGTCAATCATTCTTCCTCAAGTTTCTACAGATCCTAGTTTCTTTCATGAGGGACATGGTATATGGTGTGGGTGTATGGGTGGGTGTATGGGTATGTCGGTGCGGGACGTGGCTGAACCAGCCCTCTCGCTGGCTGTCGCTGCCCGCTACCGCAACTCAGAGCTCAGCCTGGGCACGCGGGATACCATAAAAGGTGGCGTGACATGGTGGGTCCGTTGGGGTTGGGCATAGTGTGCGTGGGTGGGTGAGTGGCCGGGCGGTTCAGCCTGTGATACCTTTGATTTGAGACGTCTCACAACGGGCGGTTCAGCCTGGGATACCTTTGATTTGAGACGTCTCACAACGGGCGGCTTTTGAGTCGACTCAAAAATCGCCTCATCACACGCGGTTCAGCCTGGGAACCGTTTTGAGACGTCTCACAACGGGCGGTTCAGCCTGGGAACCGTTTTGAGACGTCTCACAACGGGCGGTTCAGCCTGGGATACCTTTGATTTGAGTAGTGACGTGAGGGCGGTGTCTGAGAGTGAGAGGTGCGTGGCATAAGTGCAGCAGGAAATGCTGTAACGCGTTGAAGAGTCACGTTCTTGCATCCTCCCTTTCTCCCCGTCTTTTTATGCAATTGTTGCACGGAGGGAGGGTTTAGAGAGCGAGAGGCAGGCGGCAGAGGCGCAGCAGGAGGTTCTGCAATATGTGTTGAGTGTCACCTTGATTTCTTCCCCCCCTCCCCTGCCCACTTTCCCTCCAGGCAAATGATGCACGGAGGGAGGTGTTTGAGAGTGAGAGGCAGACGGCAGAGGCGCAGCAGGAGGTGCTGCGGCTGAAAGACGCCCTGAGGGCGAGCGAGCAGACGGGGTGTGTGCTGCTGACCGAGCTGCAACGCGCCTGGGCCCAGGCTGGCCTGGTGGAGGCTCAACACCACTCTGAAGTGGAAAGGCTCATGGTGAGAGGAGGGAGGAAGGTTTGGGAATGTTGTGAGCGACTGGGTGTGTGAGTGTCTGGGTGGGACCCATACTATGGGCTCAGGATGGACTGGTGGAGGCACAGCATCATGCTGAAGTGGAGAGGATTAATGTGAGAGGGGTGATGGGGGGGTTGTGTTTAAAGAGGATCCATCATGCTTCAAAATAGCTGTGGGCTCAGGCTAGACTGTTGGAGTAGAGGCGCAACACCACGCTGAAGCGGAGCGGCTCATGGTGGGAAGGGGAATAGGCTAGGGTTTGAGGGAGAAAAGGGTGGGTACGCATTCGCGTGTGAGTGTTGGGTATGGGTAGGACAGACAGGCATGATGTCTCGTAGCAGTGCTGGGCTCAGGCTGCACTGGCGGAGGCGCAACACCATGCTGAAGTGGAGAGGCTCATGCATGCTGCAGGCTGAGGTGGCCGCGGGGGAGGAGGCGCAGCGGGACAACGTCCTTCTGAGCTTCTCTTTCTGTGCCTTGTGCTCAAATCCCCGTGCCTTCTTTCAAGCTGCCGCAAAACCCTTGCGTTCAAATCTCTCTGTTTCCCTCTCCGTGTCTGCAGGCTGAGGTGGCTGCAGGGGTGGAGGCACAGCGGCGGATGGAGGAGGAGTGGGAGACGCGAGCAGTGCTGGAGGGAGCGAAGACCGTGAGGGAGCATGAGGAGGAAATGGAGCGAATGCAGCAGCAACACATCGCAGAGATAGAGGCGTACAAGGTGAGATAGAGGGGTACAAGGTGAGATAGAGGGGTACAAGGTGAGATAGAGGGGTACAAGGTGAGATAGAGGGGTACAAGGTGAGATAGAGGGGTACAAGGTGAGACAGAGGGGTACAAGGTGAGATAGAGGGGTACAAGGTGAGATAGAGGGGTACAAGGTGAGATAGAGGGGTACAAGGTGAGATAGAGGGGTACAAGGTGAGATAGAGGGGTACAAGGTGAGATAGAGGTGTACAAGGTGAGATAGAGGGGTACAAGGTGAGATAGAGGGGTACAAGGTGAGATAGAGGGGTACAAGGTGAGATAGAGGGGTACAAGGTGAGATAGAGGGGTACAAGGTGAGATAGAGGGGTACAAGGTGAGATAGAGGTGTACAAGGTGAGATAGAGGGGTACAAGGTGAGATAGAGGGGTACAAGGTGAGATAGAGGGGTGCAAGGCGATATGGAGGCGTACAAGGTGATGCAGAGGGTTGCAAAGTGATGTAGAGTGAGGTGATATGGAAGGGTACGACACGAGGTATACGAGGTGATATAGAGAGGTGATATGGGAAGTGGTAGCCAAAATGTCAGCAAGAATGGAAGGCAACTCATTTTCCTGCAATTCGCTTCCTGTTGCGCCTCTAATTTGTCCCTCCCCCTCCACCCTTGCCTCTGTAGGTCCAAGTGGAGCAGCTGCACGGGCGGCTGGCAGAAGCAGCCGAAATGGCGGCGACGGTGGCGGCACTGCGCCGCCCGCAGGAGGACTCAGCAGAGGTGGCGGAGCTGCGGCAGCGGTACGAGGCGGCGGTGCAGAAGATGACAGCTTATAAGAGCGAGCTTGAGAAGAGCGAAGTGCTCACTAGGGTACGTGTGGTTCAGCCAGGGTATGTATGGTATGTATGGATGCCTGTGAGCGGGTGAGCGGTACGAGGCGGCAGTGCAGAAGATGACAGCTTACAAGAACGAGCTGGAGAAGAGTGAAGCGCTCACCAGGGTATGTGTGGGCCAGCCAGGGATGCCTGTTGGGTCTTTAGAGGGGTAGAAGTGGGAAGCTGGAAGAAGTGGGATGGACCTGGATGCGTGCAGGGAAAGAGCCACTGCAGTGTGGCAGCGGTATGAAGCAGCAGTGCAGAAGATGATGGCGTACAAAAAAGAGCTGCAGAAGATGATGGTGTACAAAAAAGAGCTGCAGAAGAGCGAAGCACTCACCCGGGTGAGTTGCATTCAGCATGGGTGGCATGGCATGGGTGGCATGGCATGGGTGGCCTGGATGGCATGGGTGGCATGGATGGCCTGGGTGGCATGGATGGCATGGGTGGCATGGATGGCATGGGTGGCATGGGTGGCCTGGGTGGCATGGATGGCCTGGGTGGCATGGCATGGGTGGCATGGGTGGCATGGGTGGTACGAGGCAGTGGTATTGGGCGGGGCGGCGGTATGGACAGCGGTTTTGGGCAGCGGGGCACAGGGTGATACTTTTGTGAAGGTTCAGTTGGAGTGGAGCAACAGTGATTCGCTGGACAAGGTGGGACGGCAGATCGGCTGTCTGCTGTCCCGTCTCGCCTGGAGGCACCAACTGGCAACAGCACTGAACGTATTCTTCCCAGTTTCCCCCAATTTAACCCTTTCCCTCCTCTCTCCCCTCCCTCTCCCCTCCCTCCCCCCCCTCTCTCCCATTGTCTTCCAATCCCAGGAGCTGAATGTGGAAAATGCCCGTGTGCTATCACTCTCGCCTGCAGGCCACCAACAACACTACACGTCTCTTCCCAGTTTCTCACAATCTGAACCCAACATCCCTCCTTTCCTCTCTCCCCCCTCCCATCCCCAGGAGCTCAATGCGGAGAATGCCAGTCTGCTGTCTCGCCTGGAGGCCACCAACAGTGCACTGGTGAGCTTTCGCTCACACAGGAAGTTGACTGAAGTTGACTGAGGTTGACTGAAGTTGACTGAAGTTGACTGAAGTTGACTGAAGTTGACAGAGGTTGACAGAGGTTGACTGAATTTCACAGAGTGGAATCACGTGCGAGAGTTCTCAGAAGGGGTTTCAGTAAAGCTGGTGGTGAACCTTCAGAACGGAGGTTGAATGATAACATCAGCTGATGTGGCTGCAGCACCTCCGCTGCACCCCCATCATGTTCACTGCATCTTGGCCGAGCTTCTTGTCTCCCACAATGTATCTCCACGTACAATCCCCCCTCCCTTCCTTCTCTTCCTCCTCCCCTCCTCGTCTTCTCCTCACCAGGCTGCTCTCGAGAATTCTGCCCTCATGAAGGTGGACGCCCATGTGCAGGCACAGGCGCAGGCAAGCAGTAGCAGCAATGAATCCTTTCCCGCCCCCTTCCCCACCACCCCTCTCTTCCCCTCCTTCGCCCTGCATATTCCCACCCTCCTCCTCCACAGGCTGCTCTCGAGAACTCTGCCCTCATGAAGGTGGATGCCCATGTGCAGGCCCAGGCACAGGCACAGGTACAGGCACATGCACAGGCACAGGCACAGGCACAGGCCGGGCAGGGACAGGCAGTCACTGCAAATGGCACAGCGGGGCACGGGGATGGAGGAGCAGGGGCAGGCGAAGGCCAGGGCGCTCAGCAGCAGGGGCATGGGACTGAAGGGATGCAGGGGGGTCCGACTGCTCCTGCCGCTGCTGCTGTTGTGAGAGTGGGTGCAGGGGGCTTGCAGTCGCAGCAGCAGCAGGGGGTGGGTGGTGGGGAGTGGGAGAGGCGGAGGGATGAGGTGGTGGGGCGGATGAATCGGGTGATGGTGGACGGGCAGAGTGATGCGGCTGCTCTGGCGGAGGAGAGCAACGCGTGCTTGAGAGAGGTGCGTGATGGAGAGCGGTGGTGAGTGATGGAGAGCAGTGGTGAGTGGTGGAGAGGAGAGGAGAGTGGTGGAGAGCAGAGGTGAGTGCGTGAGCATTGCATCATCTTAGCAACAACATCCTCGCTCCAACTCTGGCCCCATTCCCCCCTTCCCCCCCAAATCCCTCCTTCCCTTCCAAACCCCTCCTTCGTCCGCTCCGCTTTTCTCCCTATGTGGCCAATCAGATGCTGATAGCTGTCGCAGCCTTGCCAGCTGGCAGCGAGGAGGAGGGGCGGGCGGCCGAAGAGGTGCGGGCGGCGGTGGTGGCGCTGCTGGCGTGGGCGCACTCCAAGGCATTGTCGCTTGATTGGCTGGTCGTGTCCTGCGCCCGCCTGCTGCTGCTGCGCGTGCTGCGCTCCAAGTCGGCCGATGTGCAGTCCAGTAAAGTGAGTGTGGGACAAGGGAGCAGCAGGTTGGGGAAACTAGGGGGACTCAAATGAAACATGAATCTCTCTCGCCTCCCCTTTGAAAGAAACTAGGAGCTATAGAAACTTGAGGAAGAATTGTTGAAATTAGCTCAGGAGAGCACAAGATTATACAAGGGAGAGAAGGTTGGAGAAGAACACCAAACCTAGCATATAAGACACCAAGACCAAGTAGGCTAGTGGGAGGAAGGACCATCCAACCAACCCTAGTGGGGTGGTGGCCAACCAACCAAAGTTGGTTGCCCCATTTGGCCAACAAAGTTGGAGCCAAGTCTAAGCTAGGATATTAGGGTTCACCCCAATTAGGGTGTCAACCCGCAATATACCCAAAACTAGAGCCTGAACCAACCCAACTGTACACCACTCTTGGTGTACAGTCACAAGTGTTCGCATGCTTTAGTATATAAATTTCAACACAACCCCTTAGCATGCGAACACATGAAGAGAACAACCCCTGAATCAAGGGGCGCCTGGGCGAGCAAGGCCAAGGAGGCGGAGCAAGGCAGAGTGCGCAGGGCGAGAGAGAGCTTTGGTGAAGATGTCAGCCAAGTTTGCCTTAGCCGTAGTTTTCCGAACGGCAAGAAGTCCCTACTGGACGAGCTCGCAGATGAAGAAATAGCGCAACTCGATGTGCTTGGAGCGGGCGTGGTAGACAGGGTCCTGGGTGAGATGGATGGTGCTGGCGTTGTCACACCAGAGGGTGGGGCAGCGCTGAGGAGCGCCTAGCTCAGCAAGAACATAGCAGAGCCAGCGGGACTCTTGAGCGGCCATGGTGCCAGCGTAGAGCTCAGCCTCGCACGAGGAGAGAGCAATGGCAGAAGAACGCGTGGAGCGCCAACTGACAAGGCCGCTGCCAAGGGTGAAGCCATAGCCCTGAGAGGAGCGGCGGTCCGACTGCGAGTCAGCCTAGGAGGAGTCGCTGAAGCCCGAGAGGAGAGGAGGGGAGGGGCCGCCAAGGGTGAGGACATGGTCCTTGGTCCCGCAAAGATAGCGGAGGACCCGCTTAGCGGCCTGCCAGTGCTCGGTGGTGTGGAGGTCGGTGCCAACGAAGCGCGCAAGCACGCTGATGGGGTAGGAAAGGTCGGGACGGGTGCACATCATGGCATACATCAACGACCCAACAAGCTCGGCATAAGGGTGAGAGGAGGAGGAGGGAGAGGTGGGTGGGGCGAGCTGGTGACCGAAAGGTAGAGGGGTGGACACGGGCTTGGCCTGCAACATCTCGAACTTCTCCAAGACCTGGCCGATGTAGTGGGACTGGGAGAGGGTGATGGTGCGAGCAGGACGGTTGCGTGTGATGGCCATGCCCAGGTAGTGTGCGAGGCCGCCCAGGTCCTTGCATTTGAGACGCTGCTGCAGCGACAGCTTCATCTGCTCCATGTCAGCCTTGGAGTCAGAAAGCAGGATCATGTCGTCCACATACACCAGAATGAAGAAGCGGCGAGGGGAGGAGCGAATGAAAAGACTGGCGTTAGAGTGCGAAGCAGAGAAGCCGAGGGACCCCAAGGTGGCAGACAGCTTCGCATGCCACTCCCTTGGTGCCTGTTTCAAACCGTAGACAGGGCGACGCAGCTGCCACACAGTGTTTTCAGGAAAGGCTGCGTGGAAACCAGGGGGCCGCCGGAGGAAAATGCGCTCGTGCAGGTCACCCTGCGTTGGAGACGTCCATGGAGCAGATTTCCATGTTGTCCCGCGCACCAATGTCGAGGAGGGTGCGAAGAGTGGGCGGCTTGGCGGTGGGGGCGAAGGTGAACCAGTAATCTTCGGCCCAAGTCTGCGTGAAACCCTTGGCGCAGTAGCGTGCCTTGTAGACTGGCTCCTTACCCGGTGCGGGACGGGTGCACATCATGGCATACATCAACGACCCAACAAGCTCGGCATAAGGGTGAGAGGAGGAGGAGGGAGAGGTGGGTGGGGCGAGCTGGTGACCGAAAGGTAGAGGGGTGGACACGGGCTTGGCCTGCAACATCTCGAACTTCTCCAAGACCTGGCCGATGTAGTGGGACTGGGAGAGGGTGATGGTGCGAGCAGGACGGTTGCGTGTGATGGCCATGCCCAGGTAGTGTGCGAGGCCGCCCAGGTCCTTGCATTTGAGACGCTGCTGCAGCGACAGCTTCATCTGCTCCATGTCAGCCTTGGAGTCAGAAAGCAGGATCATGTCGTCCACATACACCAGAATGAAGAAGCGGCGAGGGGAGGAGCGAATGAAAAGACTGGCGTTAGAGTGCGAAGCAGAGAAGCCGAGGGACCCCAAGGTGGCAGACAGCTTCGCATGCCACTCCCTTGGTGCCTGTTTCAAACCGTAGACAGGGCGACGCAGCTGCCACACAGTGTTTTCAGGAAAGGCTGCGTGGAAACCAGGGGGCCGCCGGAGGAAAATGCGCTCGTGCAGGTCACCCTGCGTTGGAGACGTCCATGGAGCAGATTTCCATGTTGTCCCGCGCACCAATGTCGAGGAGGGTGCGAAGAGTGGGCGGCTTGGCGGTGGGGGCGAAGGTGAACCAGTAATCTTCGGCCCAAGTCTGCGTGAAACCCTTGGCGCAGTAGCGTGCCTTGTAGACTGGCTCCTTACCCGGCAGCTGCTTCACCCGAAAGACCCATTTGCCCTCCTTGAGGTTGGCGTCGGCTGGGAGGGGGACATCGACAAAGGACTCGTTGCGAATGAAAGCCTCACACTCCTGGAGGATCCCCGCTATCCATTTGTCCGCGTCAGTGCAGGTGATGGCCTCTTGGAAGGTGGTGGGAGTGAAGATGGTGGGAGTGGAGGTGGCGCCAAGGACGGGAAAGCCAAGGAAGTCAAGGTAGAGGGAGGCAAAGAAAGGTGTGTGTTGCCGAATGTTGAGGAACTCCTCATGGGAGTCCTCGAGGAGCTGAATGGAGGCGGGGGGAGGGGCTCCAATGAGTTTGTCCAGGGAGCGGGTGTGCATGCGAGGGAGGAGGAAAAGGGAGGAGCGGGAAGTTGCGCGTCGCTGCTGCTGCTGCTGGTGCTGCTGCCCCTGCTGCTGCTGCTGCTGCTGCACCGGCTGCTGCTGCAGCTGCTGCCCCGACTGCTGCTACTGTTGCTGCTGCCACTGCCGATGCTGCCCCTGCTGCCCCTGGTGCTGCTGCTGCTGCTGCGGCTGCTGCCCCTGCGGCTGAGGGGGAGAGTGAGAGGAGGAGGGAGAGGGGGGGGAGGGGGTGCAGCTGAATGCGCTGGAGAGGCGGGTGCGGAAGGGTCGTAGATGTCGGCAGAGGAGGAAGGTGGGAGCGGAGCGGCGACCGGTGGGAGGAGGGGTGCGGGAGGGAGGAGGGGTGGGAGGACGGTATCGGTCCAAGCCAGGGGGCGGGAGGGAGGGGGAAGAGGGCCAGGAGGAGGAGTGGAGTAGTAGGGAATGGACTTGTCGAAGACGACGTCAATGCTGCGGATGAGGCGACCGGAGGGAGGGTGGAGGAACATGTAGCCTGAAGAATCGCGATTGTGCCCGAGGTAGACGCACTCCAGGGCACGCGAGGCGAGCTTGCCAGCAGCGCGGGAGCGATCAGCCGGAGGGATGTGGACGAACGCCTTGGAGCCCCAAACGCGAAGGCCAGCAGCGTCAGGCTTGGCCTTAGACCAAAGTTCTGTGGGGGAGGAGGAAGAATGCTGACTGAGGGTGGGAGCAGAGATTAAGGAGGAAGGCAGCATGGAGGAGGGCATAGCTCCAGAGGGAAGGAGGGCGTGGAGGCGTGAGCAAGAAAGCAACGAGCAATCTTGGTGATCTCACGAATGCGACTCTCAGCGATGCCGTTCTGCTGAGGGGAATGGGAGAGGCTGTGGGTCTGCTGAATGCCGCGAGTTTTGCAGTAAGTGGCGAGGGTATGATTGAGGAACTCACCCCCACCATCAGAGTGAAGGCAGCTGATGGGGCGTTTAAAGTGTGTGCGGCACTGCTCAGCCCAGGCAATGACCACACCCGGCACTTGATCCTTCGTGTGAAGGAAGAAGACAGTAGATTACCGACTGTGGTCGTCGAGGAGGACGAGCATGTACTGGTGCCCTTGGCGAGAGCGGATGGGATAAGGGCCCCACAGGTCCATGTGAACAAGGTCAAGGGGAGCAGCTGCGAAAGTGGGATGGCTGTGATCGGGAGACTGATTGAGTTTGCCATGAATGCAGGATGGGCATGGGGGTGCGGGAGAGGAAGGGAGGGGAGGAAGAGTGGGGGGGAGGCTGTCGAGGAGGCGGGATGTGATGGCGGTGCGAAGTGCAGCGAAGTTTGGGTGGCCTAGTCTGTGATGCAAGAGCACAGCAGGGTGGGAGAGGTGATTAGAGGAGGAGGGGGATGGAGTGGGGGAAGGAGAGGGGGAGGAGGATGAGGGGGATGACGTAGGGGAGGACGATACCTGGGGGGGGGGGGTAGGGGGAGGGGGAGGGGGAGGGGGAGGGGGAGGGGGAGGGGGGCCGGTGGAAGTGCCAGTACGAGTGGTGACCTGACAGAAGGAGGGACGAGGTGTGCGGAGCGTGTAAAGGCGAGTGCGAGGGCAAAGGGGAATGCGTAGGAGGAAGCGACCAGAAGCAGTGTTGTAGAGATCACAGTAAGAAGCATTACCAGGGTAAATAGCGGTAATACCAGCGCCTTGTATCTCACGGTGGGAGAGGAGGTTGTTGCGAAGGGTGGGGATGTGGAGACCTGTGATTGTACCAGATGGGAAAGCGGAGGATGCGCTGTGGCCCCACGAGGATGCGCCAAATGAGGAGGGGGTCGTCAATAGTGGCCCCACGCTCCTGAAGACGCCGAGCTGTGTTGTTAGGCGACGGGTATAGTCAGCTGCGCCGGTGCAGTTGTCAAGGGCGATAGCGTTGAAGTCACGGTAGAGGGCATGAAGAGATGCCATGTCCCGACGGTCATACAGATCACAGAGGGCGCACCAGAGAACTGCAGAGGAAGTGGCGTCAAGCTCGCTCTGGAGCGAGGTCGGGATGCAGGAGTTGATGAGGCCAATAGCCCGAGTGTCGGCAATGCACCAGGCGGTATGGCGAGTATTGAAATCAGTCA